ATATTTGTCTATTAAACCACTCTTACCTTTAATGTGAAGGCGTTAAACAAGTTATTAAAAAACACTATTGATATCAATATATCATTATATTGTGATAATAGACAAACATTGCATTTTATTAAGTGATTTCATTTGATTGTTAATCAATATCTTATTGACAAAAAGTTTCATAAATAAATACAAACAAACAAATAAATAGATGATTACATTAAAAGCCAAATGAATATGCAATGAAATTTCAATACCGGTAGCTATAAGATTCATATTATCATCATTTTTAAAAATAGATTCATTTAATACATATAAATTATTTTTTCTATCTTAACAATATAATGACAAATTGATTTATTGAATAAACTTTTTTTTAGTAAGATTTTTAAAAATAAATAATTATATACTGTATATACACTATATATTATACAATATATATATATATAAATAAATTTTATATATTATAAAGGACTTCAGGGTATTCGGAAAAATTAGATCTGATTTTTGTCAGAATACAGYAGAATATTATTTTAAACAGAATTAAAGGTTTATATTGATATAAAAATTTAGTTTATAGTCTAACGGGAAATAATACAATTGCTTAAAATGTATATATATTTTAAATTGCTGTAACTTAGAAATAATATGTGAGATTAATAAATTGTTTTTAGATTCATATACATAAGTCTAGATGATTAAAGTGTATGTTGTTTAAATTGATTATAAAATAATTTTCAATGTATTGCCATTGAGTATAGAAAAATGTTTAATATTATAAAATAATTGAAAAAGATGTATATAATTTTTTTAATGTAAACTCAATGACAATACATTTAAAATTTATGTTGAAATAAAAATTTTTAATATGTATGCATTTAAAATTGATGTATTTGAGGCATATAAAAAATATATAGTCACAGTTACTAGTCATAGTGTATAACATAGCATATAAAATGTTTAAAAATCTTACCCTACTTATTTGTATATTACCCCATATAAAAATGTCAAAAATATAAAAAATAAATTTTCTAATAATTTTACTTAAAATAAAACTAAACAAAATATACTTCTAAATGATGACAATATTTACAAAAATTTCTCAATACTATTAATATTATACTATAGTAATATACAGTACTATTACATTAACTATACTATAACATGTATCTAAATTAATGCACATAACTATTTAATACAATGAATTGCTTTTTACAATAACTTACAGATTAATAGATTAAAAGATTAAAAGATTAATATCAATTAATATGTAAGGTTTACACTGTAAGCTATTGGAAAAATTTATGTATTGATTATATAATAATTTGTTTTATACATAAAAATCTATTGATGATATAAATTATAATGATTTAAAAATAAATAATATTAACTAATATATAAAAAATAAAATAAATATTTTGACAAATTTTAATTTAAAGCATTTTATCATTGATTGAATAATACTGTACTTTAGTTTGCAGTCAAATAGAGACACACATTGACTGCAATAGAAAATAATAGTAATGTTGTTATTATTGACACATTTGTGACAATCATGTGATGCATACAAACACAGACTAACCGACCAAATGATTGTTTAGCCGAACACATAACGACCGCCCGAATCGGTGGATAACACGAAATGTCAACAAAAGTCTTACGATTTGTGGACAAAAGTAACGACAGACGGGTCGGTATAAAGTGTTATTCATTTGATTCACGCGATAAAAGGGTCACACGTTTGACCATTAAATACAAGCCGTGGACAACATCACCGGTTAYTAACACTAACGATGCATCTGATGGCATAACAAGACAATATACAAGAGATAGTTTCAACCGATTCGGTGACGACTTATGTGAACTTTTGTTAACGTATTTGCCGTTTGAAAAGAAGTTGATCTTTGAATGTGTTTGTCGTCAGTGGAGACAATTGATATTTAATGGTCAGCACCGGCTGGTTATCACCAATGGACCCAAAACAGGAGCGACACGTATGGACTCAATTGACGCGCTAATTGTAGGCCAAACTGTCACCAAAAACAAAGTTTTAGATTATTTTGTTAACACAGACTTATTGGCCCTATTGTTGACCAAATGTCCAAAGATTACCGAAATTTACATTAATTTTAACAAACGATACTCAAGTAATAAATCATATAAAATAAATGGCAAACTCTTTGAAGTGCTTATCAGTTACGCTAAGCTTTTGAAAAAGATTACCATTTGTTCTGATGTTAAAGATTTAAGCGAAGAAGTTATGCATAATTTTGGTCATAAATTTTGTGAGTCTTTGACTGATATAAGACTCAAATATTTATCCGATAAATATGTCAAACAATTGTTTCAATCAACTGATAATTTTAGGTGTTTAAAAAAATTAGACTTCAATTCAATCGGACGACAATTAAATGAAGACATGATGACAAACTTTGCCGCAAAATCAGTAATCATTAATCAGTTGCAATCAATTAAATACAAGTTTAACAGCTTTGATGGTCTTCAAGTGATCACACGACCTGATCTTCGACAACAACTTCATACACTAGATATAGTATTGGACGCCGAACTCAATTCTAAACTTACCGGTGAAGGCGTGAATCAAGCGCTCATTCAATTGTCTGAATTGAAAAATCTAGAAATATTTAACATTAAGATCTATGTCGTGGATGAATACATTAGACCTCTGGATTCAGGTCTGCAATTAATGGCCAAAAATTGCTGTAAACTTAAACGACTCGACTTTATTATGGATAGTATTGAACTGAATGGCAAACTGTTTGATATATTTAGTTGTTTTCGTTCACTTGAATTCTGTGAGATATCCATTGAATACAATGAAAATATTGTAGACTACGGACAGCTAAAGAATTTTGCTAAATGCAAGAATCTTCGAGTATTTAATTTGTATTTGTTTAATATAAGTGATAATCATTTGGTTGATATTGATCTTTATGTACCAAATATGACAAACTTTCATTTGAGATCCAACACCGCAATCACTGACAAGACATTGAATTATTTGCAAAAGTGTTGTAAACTGGAAGTGTTTGAAGTGCACACATATAATGATAAGAGAGATGTTATCAATATTACAGACACTGGTATTAGTAAATTGATTGATAACTGTTCCCAACTTAGATATATATTAATTTTTAGTCGACTGAAAAATTATAATTTTAACACTAGTATTATAAAGTTCATCGAAAAGGCTAAACTTAAGCCTAAAGTGAAACATTGTTTTGGCAGTTCTGGTATCGTAGAAGTCTTTAAAAATGTGGCCAAAATGTATCGCAATTCAATCCAAACATCAGTATGTCTGCCGCATAACATAAAGTTTGTTGAATTACCCGATTGGACAACAATTAAGTACTTCGAGTTTAATTGTAACGAATCCATACCTAAATAAAATTACCGATAAAGTAGTAATTATACAAAATAGATACCGTAAGTCATTGATATCAGTGAAATGTTAAATTTGTTATGAACAGTATATACTATATAATACATGTATTTTTATTTWAAAATAATATATATTTAATTAGTTTTTATACACCTGTATATATCATATACTTGATATACAGTAAATCAATAATTTTCAAAGAATTTGTATATTTATATATAACATTTCAATTAGATTTAACACGTTTTGTTATATCTGATATAAATTGTTTGATCCGAGTGTCGCCAACATCACGTTTAGCCACTTTGATGGCCATAAATATTAGGACTTCAATCGTAAATTTAATAAAAACTATAAACAATACAATAGTTGTCCAAAAACTAAAACCTATTAAATATACAACAAATTTGAGATAAATGTTATACAAATAATGAGTTAAAAACTACTGTTTTAACCTTTAATTGGAAATAAAACGAGAAGAATTCGAGTGATGAACATAAACTCAGTGATGGTTAGAAATACTGACAATTTCATGTCATACGACAAATCGCTTTGTTTGATCCCATCTTTGTTTGAACAGTAGTGTACATCCCATCGGAGCTTTAGTTGACAATATGCGGTCACCAATGAGTGCACAAATAGCAGCCAATTATATTCAGGCCGTAAATAGACTCGTATTTTGAAAAACAATTCACAAATTAGATTAATGATCGATATAAACATCAAAAGTACTGTCAAAGCCATTACTATTAAACTAAGATTATAAACAATATTGGCTATGATTTTGAATGCATTTTTAATTTTAGGCTTTGATTGATGGCTACTATTAGTGTGACTTTCTTTGGATTTGATTTGAGTTATATTAGTTTCTTCTGGTTCTTGCAATTTAATGGTATGCTTTTGAGGTTCTTTAGCCGACTGTAGCTTTTTGATTGACATTTTCTTTTGCGATTTAACGTAGCCTTCATTTGATGAAGACTTGGAGGATGACCACAATGATGACTCAGATTGACTGTCCATTTCTGTATCGGTAGATGTATTTAAATCACTACGACTAGGAAATTGTACGAATGGTGTACTTTCAGTGTTAGGAATTTGATGTATCTTTTCGAGATCTTTCTGTAATTCAATCGCTTTCCATTMCTCATCGTCTTTATCGTCATTTATGGTAAATTTTATCTCCTCTTTAGGACCGAAATTATTTATGTAATCAGTTTTTTTGGAGACATTTCTTTGCAAATTAAAAGCCGAGTCGTCAACGCTTTGTTGAGAACCAGATTTCGACTCTTCTTTTGACTTTCGCTTAAGATCTGAGTCGTCAACGCTTTGCTGAGAACCAGACTTAGACTCTTCCTTCGACTTTTGTTTAATGCTTTGGTTTGAACTACTTCTTGATTGAGACATAATATTTCTAAGCAAACATTACTGTATTTTTATAATTTAACTAAAATCAAAATAATTTGAACTCAATTAAAATAATCGCGTGAATCACCATTTACTTTGTATACTAAGATTTTTTTATTATAATTTAATTTTAATTATTTGTATATAAAAATGATTGACTTTTATTAGCAAATAGCCATTAATTTATAACTATTTGTGATTATCACTAATCAACTGCGCGATACATTTTAGTGGTACTTTGAGCGGCAATTTTTCGTAAATAAAACATCCGTCGTATGACTTCTTCATCTTTTTCAGTGATCTCATCATCACTTTTCCAGACACTGTTTGGCAAAAACATTTTGATTGCTGTTTCCATATCTCCATAATCGCGCAAAAATGACAATATTTCCAATGTGTTGGACACCTCTAAATGGAAGCCCTCTCTTACTGTTCCGTACTCTTCAAGTGGGATTCGTTTCATTTGAATGCCCTCTTGTCGGACACGCATCTGATAATAGGAACAAGTATTTAAAACACAAATTTTAACAAATATATACAAATGTATATCAAATACCATAGAAAGTGGAGGATTCATCAGATGCTGTACAACACCGGGTATTATATAAACCATATTATTATCATATTTGACAAGTGGTTCATCTGCTTGCGGACATATATAACAAAGTCGGTTGACATCAAAATGATTGAGATATGAGTCTTGCGTAACATTTATATAACATTCATAAAGAGATTTATGAAAATAATTTTCCGTATATTTCTTAACAATTCCGTAAGGGTTTAGACTGCAAAATGYTATGTCAAACGATTCATTCAATTCATTTCTGAAAACAATTTTAGGACATAAAAAACAAAATTTAATTTCAATAATCAAATTAAATAAGTAATTGATAACAAACTTATTATAAGTAAACATTTTGGATAAATATCCCAACAATTGTTTGGCCGCCAATTCATTTAAATGTTCTTCAAAACTGAAATCAATGACCACTTTTTGGCCAAACAGTGCGGCATTTTTCAGACGCGTTTTTGCGATCAACTCTCGTCTAACACGAGGATTGATTCTCGTGAAGAGTGTGTTATGCCATAAACCATAAACTATTTCGTTTGGATTTTTGGCGTCAAATATGCCTATTCTTGAGGTACGACCGGTATGTTTCATCTCCAGTTTCCATGAATTTTCTATGGCCTCTGCGGTCAACAAATATATCACAAAATTGTTAATAAAATCAGTAATCAAAACGTACGCTCTTTTTGCATGAGTTTCTGCGCGTACTTCTTGAACTCCAAGTCATACCAATAGTGGATCTGTTCTCTGATCTCTCGATGCAAATCTAATTGCATGAGTTGTCGTAAGTGGTCAGTGGTCAGCCGTACGGGAACCCGAAATGTTGTGTTCAGTATTTCATTATAGATATCACATATTATGACAATCTTTCGATATCTTCGGACAAAGTTAGTCGACTTCTCGACGACACCCAACCGATGACACCAATCAATCAGCCATTGCTGGTACTGTTGGACACAAATTGGTGACAAATTGTGGCGCCGATGATCTTGAAATTGGTCTTCATATTTAACTTTTGTGTTGATCTCTTTCAGTATATTTCTTCTCTTTGATTGTGTCTCCCATTGAATACGTTTCGTCTTCGGAAGCAATGATGAAGACATCTGCTGTTGGGACTCATTGTTAGTGTCAAATGTGGTGTCGTTTTGTTGTTGATCTGGTCGTCGGTTATGATAATCATTTGACAAACTTCTGAAACAAAAATTGGTCAATACTTTTGTTGTCAAATGTCTCGCATAAAGACTACCACCGATTGGTAATAGTCTTAGACATAAAGTACTCATATTATCGATAATTTTAATGACATTTAAAATTTTATTTGTGATTCAAATTAACATTAAATTTATTTCAACAAAAAAAAGTTTATTTAATTTGTTTGTAAACAATGTTTTACTTTAAAGTATTTCAATTTATCATATATTATGAACTTTTATATATAATCATTTAAACGAGTTTTATATAAATATATATAGTATTCAATGGAACCAAATAAGCGGTATTGCAGACGATAAGTACAGCAATAATGAATGTGTTATTAAATTTATAATAACTTATTAATACTGTATTTAATGTGATTATAATACTGTATAATAATGTAATAATGCATTAAACCATAAATTAAAATTAATTTCAATTAATTTTTCTCGATTACAATAATTGAAAAATAATTTTATTGAATTAATTGTTAAAAAGAAGTGACTATTGACTTAAAAAAACAATTATTGTTGAAATACAGTTTTATAAGTTTATTTATCGATAACCAATTTCCCGATGAAAGTATTACCCGCACCGCCTAAATATAGTGTCCGCTGTTGTCCATTATTGTACACTTCGGTGACCTCCGATATCGCGGACACTTTATTTTCCGATGAAGATTGAAGTGTTCGCAATATATTGCCGTTTGAGTCTATTTCTAAGGCCATTCCCGGGTATTTAATCAAATCGGGTAACATTAGTGATAATCCGGTTTTCAAATTGAGACCATAAGTAGCCAATGTCTGAATACCTATAATTTTGCCAATTGTTTGCAATAGTGAGCCTAAAAATATCAAAAACTTAAATATAATTTTATATTTTAGTTATATTTGTAAGTTTTACCCAATATATAAGCACTTCTTAGCAAAAGTTTTCTCTGAATTGGTTTATCACTCAATCGATCGCAAAGTGTTGTGTTTAGCGAGTCTCTGGTTAGGGCCAGTCCTACCCAATAGGTTTCATCTTTAGCTAAACTGCGACTAAAAACATAAATTAATATTTTTTAAAATTATTATTTTTGTCTTTAATAAAAAATGTAAATGAAATATAAATAATACCGAATATTGTCGGGTTCTCCACAGAGACCATCAATTAAGACTTCAGTGGTTCCCATCTTAGGACCCGAGATGTAGTGTTTAATTACACGACGTTTTGTTAATTCATTGATWAAAAGTGCATCCTTTGAATCGTTTATTTCAATACCGTTGGGAAACCATAAGTGATCCAAAACTACCGACACGTTTCTGGTTTTGTGATCATATTTTAATACTCTTCCCGTCGGGTCGGGCTCTAAGTAAACATAAGACCAGTAGTCAAGAGAAAACTTGCGGCTCACATCTGTCAGGTAAATGGTTAGGCCGTCCAACGACTCAACCAAAACTAAGTCATCAAAAAATTTAGACATTTGTTTATCGGTTCCTAATTTTGTGTCCTCAAAACCAATTAGTTTTGTCACACTTTTAGTAACTAAATCAGTAACATATAGTCCAGAGTTTGATTCTGTAAAATATAGATTTTTTTSTTTTGCATCCAAACGCATACCAATAGGTCGGCCGCTAGGAATCGTAGTGTAAATTTCGGCACTTTTATCATCCCTAAGCYGCCAAACATGTCCACCATATGTACCGGTATATAGCGTTCCATCTTTAGTAACGGCCAATGATTTCGGACCAACCAATTGGTCGCGAAATAATATTTTCATATCATTTAGCAATGAATTTGATGTTAATTTTGTGGACACTGTTTCTGGTTTTGGTAATAATATTCTAATCAAAAATAAAATATTTTATCAAAATTTATTAAACTTATTACTAAAAATAAATTTATTTTATAAATAATTAAATTATATATGTAAATAACMTAAAAAATTATTTAATTTAACTCACTTATAATTAATTGGATTTATATCAATCAATAATTTATTTTTAGGCCAATAAATCAWAATAATAATCAAAATCAAACTAATTAAAATAGTTATAATTATTAATGTAGAAAAACAACAAATCATGATTTATGTGATTATGTTATATGACTAAAATTTAAATGTAAAATAAAATCAAAATTGACAAATTTGACTAAAATATTTTGAAATATTAACCACATTGCGGTTTAATTATATCATTAAATATTGTCRTCTGTAATGTAAGTTATTTATGAATATCAGATAAAATATTTTTATATGAGTCAACTAAAATTCAAAATTTATTTAATTTTTCTTTTTAATATTAAGTATCTCTATTAACTAATTTTATAATTAAAATATAATTTTTTATTTCAGTATTGTTATAAAAATATACTATACCACAATTATTAAGTTATATAATAATATATGTAAAGTAATATATAAAATAATAATAAAAACAGGAAACAGTAATTTTTTTAAAGATATCTACWGTATAAAAATTAGACATAAAAAATTGTCTACAAAAAAACATTTGTAATAATTTTCAATTTCCTATATTAAATCTTTATTAGATCCTAAAAATTATCAAAAATAAATAAATAGTGTATTTAACAATATTTYTATATTTAATTTTGACTATATTTAATATTTAGAAATTATGACATTTTGTTACATAAATTTGAATTTAATCAACATGTTTATTAGATAATTAGTTGAAATTGAAATTAATTGATAATTAGTTAATCAGTAAACAATACAGTCAACATATAACAATTATTGCTTAATATCTTATATAATTTATCATAAATTAATGCCATAAAATTGGATTATATCCAAAAAACCTACCTTTCTTTTATATTATCATTTAAGTACTTTAGATCAATATTTTAATATAAAAGAAACAATTTATTTAAAGTTTTGTCAATTTGTATTAAAAATATTTTTAGTTATATTTTAAACCCAAAAAAAATGTTAGCAAACAATATGCTACAAATTATACMAATTTTAATAATTGTTTTAAATGTACTGTTGATTAACGGTAGTCCTAATAGTGACCCACACTTTGTGGGCGATCGGTCAGTGATTGTCCATTTGATGGAATGGAGATACGATGAGATCGCTAAAGAGTGTGAAGAGTTTCTCGGACCGTATGGTTACGGAGGAGTTCAGTTGTCRCCAGTGGCCGAGTGTGCAGTTATAGACCGTAGGCCGTGGTGGGAGAGATACCAACCGGTCAGTTATAAGATTGATGGTCGCAGTGGTAATGAACAACAGTTTGCTGAAATGGTTCACAGATGTAATAAAGTCGGTGTCCGGATCTATGTAGATGTAGTACTCAATCACATGACGGGTCTTCAATCAGGTATTGGTTTTAGAAAACATTTTTATTTGTAAAAAGTACTTAAAAATATGTTTATTTATTTAAAAAGGAAAGGGAACATCTGGTGATACCTATGATGGTAATAGTTTCAGATACGATGCCGTTCCCTATACGGCACAACACTTTCACGGACACGAATCATGTCAAACGTCGGACTTGAATATTCACGACTACGACAGTCCTACAGAAGCTCGCAATTGTCAATTGGGTGGACTAAGGGATCTCAATCAGGGAACAGATTGGGTCCGTACAAAACAGGCCGAGTTTCTCAACCATCTTATAGCATTAGGTGTGGCYGGCTTTCGGTCGGACGCATCTAAACATCAATGGCCACAGGATTTGCAAAATATAATATCTCGTTTGCATGATCTCAACGGCACATACTTTGGGGTCAATAGTAAACCGTTTTTCTATCACGAATACATTTCTGGCACTAGAATTAAGGCCTCCGAGTATACACCGTTGGGTCGGGTCATTGAGTTCAAGAACTTTGACAATTTGGGTCATGTTTTTCGTAAATATGATAATCAACGATTGGCTTATTTGAAAAATTATGGCGAGGGCTGGGCTATGTTGCCGACGGGCGACTCATTGATAATGGTGGACAGTCACGATCTTCAACGTGGACATAGCGGCGACCTCAGTGTGACCATAACATTTTTTGAGTCGAGACTTCTAAAGTTGGCCACCGCTTTCATGCTGTCCTGGCCTTATTCGGTCACTCGGGTTATGAGTAGTTATTATTGGCCGCGAAATATTGTGGTAAGTAGTTTACGGCTGATATGGGTCTAAACTTCTTGATATAACATATAATCGGTTTATATAATAGGGCGGTAAAGACACTAACGATTGGATTGGTCCGCCACACGACTCGGCATATAATATAATTGGAGTCAAACGTAATCCGGATCTAAGTTGTGATAACACTCAATGGATTTGTGAGCACAGGTGGCGACAGATTTATAATATGGTTAAGTTTAGGAATGTCGCCGACAGTGATCCGGTAGCCAATTGGTGGGACAACGGCTATCATTCAATAGCTTATAGTCGCGGAAATAAAGCTTTTATTGCCATCAATAATGATATCCAACCAATTAATGGAACTTTCAAAACGGGATTAACAGCCGGTATTTATTGTGATATAATTTCGGGTAATTTATCGGGTAAGTAGTCTTATTGTTATTTCAAAATTAGTTATATTGAAAATTAATTTTCAATTTAATAAATAGGAGGCAAATGCACCGGAAAACAGATTACAGTGAATAGTGATGGATCGGCAGTAATATTTGTCGACAACAAATGGGAGGATCCGATCATTGCATTTCATATTAAATCCAAACTTTAAGTTTGTTTTTAAATAACAAATATACACATTATTTATTTCAATAACTGCTAAAATTACAAATAACTAATTTTTATACTTATTGAGTAAATATTTGTAATTATTATTGGCTAAATTTTTTGCTTTACTGTTTAAACATTAAAAAACATTTTATTTGTAATTAAAATCATTTAACCAAATTAACAAACAATTTATAAACGTTATAAATCATTTTATTATACAGTATTTAAATCAAATATAAATATAAAGCAAAAAATCATATTTTAAACGCAAATATCCCACAGTAATTCAATTACTGTAATAAAAATTAAACAAAACTAATACTAAAATGCTATTCATTAAAAATATTAATAAAACACATTTTGTATATACAACTATGTACTATAAAGCAAATAACAAATATTCATTCAATTTGTCACTATTAAGAGCTATCGCATGACTCGCCATAGTCTGCAACATCCCTGTCCTCATCCTTACTCAAAGAGCTGTCATCACTTTGTATATCACTATCCGATTGGCTAGTTTTGTGTATAATTTTGACACAACTGTGTTTACAACTATCTCTCTCTTTTAAAATTGATATTTCATTACTTTTGAGTGAAATAAAATAAAAATCATTAGAAAAATAAATTGATTTCAATTTAAGACACATTTGGCACAAATTGATAATAACTGATTCATCAATCTGTTTATCAGATGAATCGCGTCTAATGTCTACACATTTAAGTGCAGATAATTTAGACAATGAGATAAAAGTTTGATCCAATAGATTAGTATTTTCACAACAAATGTGTTGCAAATGCGGTAAATGTTTGTCGATATCATCAAAGAAATTGTCTTTTATAAGACAAATATTTGATGACAGAGTCAAATGAGTCAATTGGTGGCAATTTCTGAGCGCTCCACAGCTCATGACATCGGGAATGTCGTTCAAGTTATAGAAAAAACAGATTAAACGTAAATCAAGTCTTTTTAATTGTTTAAACTCATTCATTGAATGATAAATATCACCAATGATTTCAACGCTTAAAGTTTCGGTAAGTATTTTCATAGATTTCAGATTAAGACTATTATTACTTAATGTGGACAACGCGTCAACAAAACTATTGTTAACTATTTGTTCACATTTGATACTTAATGTCTTCAATTGCCTGACTTTTGACAGCTCTTCAAATAAAATATTGTACTGATTCTGAATTAATCCAATATCTACTGTAATCGTGTCTAATGTCTTCAGATTGTTATCAATAAACTTCTCAATCTTATCAATATCTTTGATAGTAAAAGCAAATGATATAGACTTTAACTTATTTACTAAAACTTGTTGTCCATCAAAAACAATAGACATATCTCTGCATTGATTTATAGCAAGTGTTGATACATTTGGACACTTCTTGAGCACCTCTTTATTGTTGTCATTGTTCAGTTCAAAGGTCAACGTCTTAATTTGCGGACCAAACTTGTGGCAAAAGTCTTCAACAATATTGATGGAAATATTGTCAAAGTTGGTATCGATGGAAATCAAGACATTACAGAATTTGATGATCAGCTCAAGTAATTGATCCCTATTTTGATAATTATGAAGATAAACGCTATAAATATTTTTACATTTTTTTAGTATTGTCTCCAATGAGATCAGATCAATGTTACGATGATTATTATCTAATGAGATGAGTGTACCCTTCAATGGGTCAAAGTTATTGATAAAACCTATCTGAAGATCGGTCTGTCCTCTGAATACCAATTGTTGCCATTGTTTAGACACACACTCGACGGCAAATCTCTGATCCGCGTCGAGATATCTGAAGATTAAGTCACACAAGTCGTCGCCAAACCTGTCTAATGAACTTCTCTTCTGGTGATAAGCAATAAGTTTTGATGTCATGTTTGCTCAAGAAATTAGTCATATAATGGACACAATTCAGGTGACAATTCAGGTGACAATCAATGATCACAAATGTATTGACAAAAAACTATAGATCTGTAAACATATGATATAAACAAAACATTTGAGGGATTGTCACACAATTGCAGTCCTATTCAACAATTCAATTGAAATTTTCAAATTATTCAAACTTTTTTTAGTTATTTTTGTGAAATGTTTTATTTGGTATATTTTGTTTGACTTAACATTTAATGATATAATAGTTTTTACTGATTTAACTAATTATTATTTTATAAAAATTTTTAAATAGATTTTAATTAAAAAAAATATATTCTAAATGTTCGATAAATTATTAATAAAATGATCTCAAATTTAAAAATAAAATATTAATAAAATTTAAAAACAATTATAATCAATTATATAACAACTAATCAAATAAAATATTTAGCAATTTAACAATTTAATATTTTATAAATAAAATAAATAAAATCCCAGTTAGGATTTAACATTAGTATTAAAAAATTGAGTTTTGAAAAAATATTTTTATATGACTTTTTATATTAAAAATTATTATCACAACTGATATTTCTCTGGAGTTTTTAAAAAGAGATATTTGTCTTAATATATAACAAAATTGAATTTGAAATCAATTTCAGGCTTTCAGCCAATGTTTTCTATACTCTTTGTGTTCGAGAATATCTCTTCTGAGATCTCTTCGGTGTAAAACAGCTATAATTAATACTAAAAGACAACAAATTGATGTTAAAGTTATCAATGTTTGAAATGCATAGTATTTGGGATCTAAATATAGTTTTTGTATCCAATTGTCAGGATTATCGGCCGCTATAATAATAATACTGGAGTCGGGTATTAACTCTTCCCAAGTCCTCTTACGAACTGTTTGTGAACCACTCGGTATCGAAACCGTTAGGCTTTGGACAAAGTTGGGGGTATCGCCCAAACCAAACAATACAAATGGCAATTGAAGACTGAAATGTGAGCTCTGAGACAACTGTCCCCCACAACTGACACTATCTCCTTCAGCTGGAGTGTAGCACAGAAAGGGACCGATTAGTGGTGTCCTTATATGCATTTGTGGAGAGTCATCATTGCTAACACCAGTTGTGACTAAGACTTTGATAAAATTTGACGATAATTTTTCGCTATTTTTATAGGCATCCAAAATGAATGTCATTTCATCCGATATGTGACTATTGATAATGATTTCGAGTTCTCCGTCTTCGTTGAAGTCAAAGAGTGACACTAAATCTACATTATGTTTACCGATCACACCGTTAGATAAGCTGTCGTCACTGATCCATCTGAATCTGAATTCTCGACCAAATTTGTTGTCATCAGTTCGACAGTTCTCCAGCCAAACGGCTCGAGTAGTTTCTGACCCAATTTCCCGCATAACGGTAACGGCATCCGGATAGCCATCTAAATCGATATCACCGACTCGTAACATAACATTTAGGTCTAAATAGTCAAACAATTTTATGAGAGTAAAAGTTAGGTTAATATCTTGTTTTGTGTGTAAAATTTCTATCCATTCATATCCAGATTCACCCAAATTTAACACTAATATCTGTGGATCAGTACAGGTCTTGATATCACTTTTACAAACAGGTATTAAGTGATCAATAACACCATCAAAGTTGATGTCTGCAAACGTTGATTGACCAATAAATTTATAAATATTACGATTTGGATAACTTATATTATTAACATTTTTTGAGTCATATCCCTGATTACTAAACCAATACTCCAATTGATTTACACCTCTAATCAATATATCGGCCGCAAAGTCATTTGGTTTGCTTAAGTCGATGAATGCATTGCTGTCTGGATATTGCATGTGTTGTGATGTCTTCAAGTACTCAAAACACTCGGATTTCAGTGTTTTTCCGAAAACTATCATTTTCTGACAATCCTTTGTCTCAACAATAAAATCTGTTATCATATCTCCATCAAAGTCTGTACAAAATTATTTAAATTTTAATAAATAACAAATATATTTAAATATTTCAAATCCTGACCTAAAACTGTGGGAAAACTTTTGACATCTTTAACAATTGGCTGCAAAGTATTGCATTGAAGATATGTTTGATTACTTATAAATAGCCATATATTGAAAATCTTGTCATTACTATCAGCTAATACTTGTGATGAATGAATATTTTGGGTAACAATCAAGACATCCATATAAGAGTTTCCAGTGAAGTCCGATGGTATGACACCTACTATTTGTTCGCCAAATTTGGGATCAAATGAACATTTAATTTTTGGCCACTTCTTCAGATATTCTTCATCGTCAATGTTTCCTTTAGCCAACTCTAATGATAATCCTTTATCTGTAATTAAAAAGATATCCGTAATGCGGTCAAAGTCAAAGTCGCCAAATGCGGCAATAAGTCCATTGATGTCCGGAAAAGACAAGTGTTTGTCAAAGATTTTGTCCGCACAACTACTGTGACACCAGAGATAGGAAACCGATAGTAATATCAATATTAAGCATTTCATTGTTGTTTAACACTTTTTTTTTAATGAGTCACTTATATTATACAGGTATATAAAACAAAATAAAATAATAAAATTTTTAATATGTTTTATTTTTAACATAAATAAAATGTTTAAGATATTGAAAATTTAAATATTCATTTAAACAAATATCCATTAATATTTCTAACTAAATTAAAATTTAGTATAATTTTATATTTATTAATTTACATATTTAAAAAATTAAGCTTATTTTTGTTGAAACTATTAATTTAATGATAAAAATTTATTTTCAGTTACACTTTTTATCAAAAATTCGAGAGTTTATTATAGCACTGTATTTAAGTTGAGAAAATATTTAAATATAAAAAGATTATTTATATTAAATATAAGTTTAATTTACAATAAAATATGTTTTGTTAAAATATATAAATAAAAAATCCAATTTATTAACACTTTTATTATTTTAGCAATTCATAAAATAGTTAATTAAAAAATTATTAAATAAAATGGCTGATTTATAATATATTTATTACTTAATAATAATAATATAAAAGTTACTTATAATTATCAATGTTAGGTGTAGTAATAACAATATTATTTTATTACTATACAAATGCCATGAATTGCTAAGTGAATAGAGATAATACATAATTTGTAATAAATAACTGATATTTTTTATAGGTATACAGTATTACTTGTGATAAATGCAATCCCAGATTGATAACAGATATTATGGCTTAAAATCTATTTGAATCATCCATTAGTTTCATTAAATATTGTCAGATATTAAAAAATGCTTAATAATGTTTAATACATTATAACTAAAAACTTGATTTAGGAATTATGCTAATAAATATTGTTTAAATATATATATTTTTTTGCATTTTACTCTATTATAAAATACTCAAAACGATTAGTTGTTAGTCATAATTAGCTATATTTACAATACAAGTTAGATATAATTATTTTAATTATCAACATTTTCATTAAAGATTTATAATAATTAAGTTGACTTTGAATAATAACAATTTAATGCTTAAAAATAAAATATGATTTATTATTTATCATAATTATTTTTACATAAAGACAGTAATTATAAAAGATTTGTCAAAATTAATAATTTAATCAATAAAATAAAGCTTATTTTTACTACATAATATTATAAACAAATTAATTAAATGATCAATAATAACAAAGTATAATAATTATRTTTATTTTTTTATTATATATACAATATATTATTACAATAGATAATTTATTTAATTTTATGCACTTTTTACAAATAATATTATACTGTACTAATAATATACTGTATGTATATTGCATAATAATTTTTTTATAAATGTAAAGTATTACTTATTACATATTACTTAGTTAATATATTTTGAATTTTACAACTACAATATATAGTATACAGTAACAAAAGTTTAATTTACAAATAATATCTATTATACAGTATATAATATATACTGTATAATAGATATTATTTGTAAATTAAACTTTTGTTATCTCATACAAAATCATCGATGTTTATAATTATAATTTTGTTTGTATTAATAGTTTATAACTAACTTGATTAAGCTTTTATTTGTTATCAATAAATAAAAATTAATGTTTAATAGATTTTTAAAAAATAATAAATACAATATAAATAAAATTTTAAATTTTTAACTTATATTCAATATTATTGTTAAAAATGAATCTAAAAGAGTGTCTAATACTGAATGAATTTCATGAAACTAATATTTCGGATCAATTAATATCCAACAAAAGTGTGTCATTTCAACCAATTTATTCAATGCCAAACATTTTCATCAACAAAACAGACGGATATTATTTGTGTGGACCACTGGTTATGATTATCAAAGAGTTGGCACTCAAAGAAAAAATACCGTATGTTTTGTCTGATTATAATTAAATATATTTACAAATATAATCTTATGTTTGATTTAGTCTTAAATATATAAGAGCACCGAAAACACAAATTGAATTTTATGATAGTTTAATGACTCAAATGCCAGATATACTACTTTTAAGTGCCGATACATATCTGTATACTTATTATAAAAAAAAGTTTGAATTTTTCAATATTCATATTATGAGGACAATTGTCATTGACTTTGTAGATATGGGTAATATTGCTTTTAATGTCATACCTGGAAATAAACCTTTATTTACATTCTTCCACTGTTTCGATGGCAATGTCTGGACTTTTATTTTTATTTTATATATATTTATATCAATAGTATTAATATTACCTAAGATTACATTTAAAAAGTTTTTGTATAGCTATTGGAATTTATATGCAATAGCTTTGTCTAAAAATATACCAAAATCTGTATCATTAGATCAATGGATGAATCGTCTAATTGTTGGCATTTCGCTATTATTTCTCTTATTTTTATCGATAATGTATTGCAGTTATCTCTTGGATCATATGATTAAACCCATCGACGATATAGTCATAGACTCTTGGGATGACTTAATTGACAAAAATGAAGTTAAAATACTGACTTCAAATAGCAATGAATTGGTGACATTTGTTGAGGAAAGCAACTCATCGATGGCTTTAAGTTTTAGAAACCGATTGACAACATTTGATAGAGAAAAGACTGATTTGTTTAACCAATGGTTATTTGATAATATGATTAGCGGACAGTTTGCTTATGTGTCCAATAAGTGGAGTCTTTTGGAACAAATGATAGATATATCTAATGGCAGCAAACAGTTCCTCAAAAGTATTCACATTTCAAGACAAGGCGGCGGACAGTTGCCATACTTTTTAACCGTAAAAAGTAATATAAATACTACTATTTTTAATTCATTAAATCAAATGTTAGTATCAATTGATTTGTTTAATAAATTTTAATTAATAATATTTTAATAATTTAACGATTATTTTATAAAGAATTCTAAGAATATTAGAAACCGGTTTATATATGAATTGGAAAAATAGATTTTTTAGACTTTTGGGAAACAATGAGTTCGTGGATAAGGATCTGTTTAAGGATTGGGATGAAACCGATGATTTCATATATAAACAAATAATGTTTACTAATATTATCGAAGTATTCACTTTATGTACCATCGGTTTCATACTGGCCTTAATTTCACTAACTTTTGAATTATTTGTTTATTATAATTACTATAAATTAATAAATTATTTATCTTTTATTAAACAGTATTTATACGCTACATATCTCTTGTATATAGGCTTTAAATTTAATGATTATTAATGTTATAATTATTAATAATAAATAATAATATTTGATCAAAAACATCATGTAATGTATACAAATGGTATATATATTTTTTAATTAAATAGATTTATTAAATTATTTTTATTTTGTATTATAGAATTAAAATTTTATAACTTAATTATGTGATAATATTTTATATGAAATTCATTTGAATGTATTATACAGTATATGTCATATAATCCAAATAAATGGAAAAAATGTAATTTTCTTTGAAAAATGTTTGAATATACAGTATATCTTATATTTGTTAATCACATGAAGGTATAGTTTAAACATTAGTATTTAAATTATAGCAATTAGTATTTAAAACATAATTGAAATTTTATATTTATTTTAGTTTACTTGCAAAAGATTAAATGACAAAACTTTGTCTCAATTTGATGACAAAAAAGAAAAATATTTTATTTATTGTATACTTTATATAATTGAGTTTATTTAACATTAATAAAATTAACAAGATAATTTTTTTTATAAAAATTTAATTAAAATTTATAAAATATAAAATAAATTAAAAAAATAAATATAACAATAAATTTATTAATGTTTAATTCGTCTTTAATACCATGGATATACTACAATTCATGTCAGTATCGCCGATATAAAGTACTATACATAACGGGTTTTTAATGTATTGTTTGGACCCTTTATAGATAACTATATCCTATACATTACAGTTAGTATTGGCTGACGTCTGATATATTGTACATTAAAGAGATTACATATCTTTTGACAATAATTTCGGACAAAATTTTATTTAATAGTTAATTAAAGTTTAATATCTCTTCAATTTATATTTAAATAAGTTTTTAAATTTAAATATATAGGACAACAAAATTTTAATAATTATAAATATATTGATGATTTCAAATTAGTTTAATATTATTAGTTTAATCATTAATTTAAATCATTGTATTTCAATTTAATTTATAATAAATATTTTTGTCAAAACATAGACTATTTTATTACAGAGTTATTAATCATTAAAAAATATTTCTGACTTTAATTGCATCACTTGATTGCCTGACAACCAGTTTGTTTTGATATGCGATACAATCAAAACACATTACAAGTGACACATAAATGTAAATCAATTTTTTGTTATAAAAATCATTGCAAATGTCATTAAAGTCACGATTAGAGTCACGACAAACATTGGCCACTATTCGGGCCAATAGTCGGTTGAATGCAATGAGAGAACAGATGCAATGGAAACAGTATTGCCGTCAAGTGATAGCTAACTGTGCCCTCAATGAAGACAACTGTAGTGACAACTGTACAGTCAATTCATGTTTTGATGACATCAAGCATTTGAATGGCAATCAAAACAGTGAACAACTGTTAAGTGATTGCAATAAAAGTCAATTAAGACAACAATCCGATCATAATTTGGTCGCTAATAAAGTGGACACTTCTGTGTTGACTAAACACAAGCCAGACATCACTGAACGGATCAATCGTATGCAACAACAGCTGACAGACTCACAACTCTTTAAGTGTTTATTCATTGATTGCTATTTGAATGAAAACAACTCATCGACCGGTGATAACAACAATCAACGGTCAATGATATCAAAGAAACCAAAGATCGGGAATAAGTCTGTTGTCGTGAATAACACTAAAAGTTTTAAGAAGTATCGAAAATCAAAGGGTTTTGGAGATACTTATTCATACATTGACACACATGTGGTCATCAATGGTGTGATTACTGGTGATAATAAAGATTTTAACAAAATGAAGACATCTGAAGACTCAAAACTAACTGATAAACAGATTGCAAATCAATTGATTAATGATATGATTATTGAGATATTTGTGGCCGAAATGGATGGTGTATTGAATCAATTACACCATTAAATTATTTTCATTTATTTTATATGACGTGATATAACCATATATTGTAAATATTTAGTAATTCAGATAATATTTTAATAATATTAATATTATAATACTTTTAAATAATATTTATATTATAATACTTTTAAATAATATTTATATTTTGTTAAATATTAATTTAATTGTGATATAAAATTGAAAGTTTAAGTTGTGATATTTAACCGGTAAACTAATAACTATAATAATAACTAATGGATACAATTATCAACGATATTATTGAAGTGGACAACAATACAGTTGATTCATATGAAAGCCGACGGAGACGTCGGCCAAGCATAAGGATTGACCGCAAAAACAATTGGCATTTATATGTCTATACTATTGCTATGTTTTTCAATCATTTGGCTTATGTAAGCAAATATTAAATATTATATTAAATAAGTGTAAAAATAATGTTTTTAAACATATTTTTTAATGTATTACTTTAATAGGGTATAATAGGGGGATTAATTGGTCCAACTCTTGTAGATTTCAAATATATATTAAACACAACAATGGAAATGATATCTATTAGTCTTATAATGAATAACATTGGATACCTATCCGGTGCACTCTGTAAGTAGTAATTACCCATATTTTAAATATGAATATAATTTAGATTATTTTATTTCTACATTTCAGTTGGATTACTATATAAATATGTGAACAGACAGTTGGTTATAGTGATAACAATGACCTCAATGGCCACATCCATAGCACTGATGCCACACTCGTCTAGTATAGCGATGCTATTTTTCTATCAATATTTGAATGGATTGGGTGCTGGTGTTTGGGACGCGGCTAATAATGTTTGGCTCATTGAGATGTGGCCACAGAATAGTTCACCTGTCCTTCAATTCAGTCAATTTTTTTATGGTTTAGGTTCAGTGTTTGGACCGATTTTGGTTAGACCTTATTTGACTGGAGAAACACAAAGTCATAACAGTACACAAAGTGGAGTATCTTTAACAGCGGATATTACCAATGATGTAACAACAACTCCAGCACCTGTAGATCGAAAGACACTTCTCAGTACACCATTTCTTATTAGTGGAATATTACAAGGATTTAGTAAATAATGTTTATATAATTTTTAATTATTATTAGTATTTTATTTAATTTGTAATACACCTATAATTTTTATGATAACTTAATAGCCCACTAACTAATGTATGGCATTATTTGAATCTTTTAATTATAGTTCCCGTAGTTTTACTTTTTATGTTTTTTATAAAACAATATAAAAATCCWGAAGAAAGACTTAAACGCAAAAATTCTTCCGAAAGCTTACTAAGCAATGAAGGTATTGACGACCAGACAGTCTATTCAGAACAAGAGGACGAATCATTGGAAATGCTATATACATCCCGAACCCGAACTTTTTTGGTTATATTGTTTTCCCTATTAATAGCCATATATTCCTCAATAGAAATTGCACATTTTAGCTACAGTTCCACATACTACCAGTTCATACCTTTGCACGTGTCAGCCAAAACAACTGCTGAAATATTATCGGTTATGAGCACCAGTTATACTGTTGGTCGTTGTATTAGCGCTTTTGTTGCCATCAAAGTCGGGCCACAAGTTATGATTGTCTATCACTTAATTATTGTAATCATCGGAATGGCTATACTTTATTACGGTTCACATCTGTTATCGTTAATTTGGTTTGGAAATGTTGTATTAGGTTATTAAATAATTATATATTATATACTTCATATACATTCATGTACTTAATAAACAATTTGATTTTAATTAGGTTTTGGATTTTCAGCCATGTATTCGGCAATTATAGCGTTGACTGCTATGCACTGTAAGATGACTGACACAGTTAGCACATTAATGGTGTTTACAAATGGTGTTGTATCTGCATTAACACCGTATATTTTGGGCCCAATAATTGAAACCAATCCGTTTTCATTTATTTTATTGGAACTCATTTATTTGATTATTAGTATACTATTGTTTCTTATGATAACTATTATTACCCGAAAACCCGTTAATCGGTCAACATCTTTGTCGACATTCATAGTCGATACATAACTAGTCTAATGTAATTAATATTTAATAATTTATTTTTATATAATATATTGAATTTTATTTTTTTAATATGCGAATTAAATCGAAATGTAGAAAATTTATATATTAGTTTATTTAAATTAAATATTTATTTCATTACATTACAGTACAGTACATAAAAAGAACTTATTTTAGTAAAAATTATAAACAAATAAACTCAACTAAATTTAATATATATTATTTATATCTAAGTTTTTAATATTTCTTAATTGCAATTTATTAATTTATAGATTAAAATTATTTAATTTTTACTAAAAAGTTTAGATTATTTAAATATATATATTATTATTAATTTACGGTAATTAGATTTTTATTATATTACTGGTGCATACCAAACTCAAGTGTATATTTTATTGTAATTTTATATCTTATTAAAACTAATATTAAATAAATGTAGAAATATAATGTTATATTTATATTATTATTGCCTTAAATTACGGTAATTAATTAATTAAATTGATTGATTATATTAATTATAAAAACTCAGGTAAACTTATACTAAACTTAAATAAAACCAATGAATTTGTGCAATTTATGTGTTTTATTATTGTTTATTATTGTTAATATTAAATTGTTTGGGTATGTCTACAACTAGATGTTAAAATAATGCTAAACTCTATATATCTTTAATTGATACAAAAATCTAATTGTAAAGATTTAGATATTAATGTTAATGCCTATGAATTAACACTGGATGAGGGTGTGGACAGTTGCCTGGTCTGGGCTTTTGTGTTGGGCGATCCCAACCGGCTTATCACTCCAACTGATAAATTATTTCAAAAGAAGTGCAACGAAATCAGTGACATTAGATAATTGTAAATTAAACGGTATTTATATCATAATATCTAACTTTTTTAATATAATAAAATGTTTTATTATTATTAGTAAAACATAAATATTTTTATTAATTTGTTATTTGAAAACTTTTCAAATAAAGTGATGCAACAAAAAACTAAAAAATAATTTTCTATTTAAGGGAGAAGTTTGTGAATAATATACTATTAAACTTATAAAATGATATAATCAGGCATTTGAATATGTTTTGCGAGAAAATAATTAACGCAGAGATTATGATATTCAATGGATTTAACTGTAAAATAGACGAGTTGTCCAAAATCAGAGATAAAGCGATGAACGCTATGATAGAGGAGTCCAGAAAATTATATTTTAAATTTATTTGTTATCTTTTGAAAGTTTGATTTTTACGCCAAAATTGGGTCAACAGTTCTTCATTCAATACTTTTGTCACACATTTTTTTAGTGATATTTACTAATTATGTAATAATTTTTTACTGAATCACTTTTTCAAAATTTTAATGCAATAATATTGTCAAACTCACTCTAGCCTAAATATTTTTAAAAGTTTTTTCAAGATTTAATTTTAATTTAGATTAAATATGATTATATTTAAGTCTATTCTAAACTTGTGGCATTTGCTGTACTTATTTGTTTTTAAAAATATCATACATTGTACTGAAATTGCAAATTTTATGATATATTAATTTATAAACTGAATATTACATAATACTGTATCAAATTGATATCATATACGGTATAAAATGCATATTACAATAATTGAATAGTAAATTGAGCATTAATTACATAATTAATAATAAATTATATAAAATTTTATTGTTGATTATTTGTCTCACTTTGACGACACACTCTTTTCTCATCCGACTACATATAGAGACAAAACAATTGTTGTTTACAGTAGTGATATCTGGGAATGGGTTATCAAATATTTTTATACATTTCATCAGATAATATAACTTTTGAAGACATTGATTGACCAAAGCTGATGATAACTGTTCATTTGATGGCATACCTAAAACTGAAACACTTGGACCTCTATCTATATATTTGGCAATTATTATTGCCGTTCAAAACTTAACAGAAAACATAACCAAAGCGTATTTATTATAATTACTAAAAAAATAATTATGAATTAATTTTTCAAACTAAATAGTTTAACAAAGCTTTAACTTTTATTAGGTATTAAATATTTAGAAAAAATGTTTGCTTATTTTTTTATATTTTATTAATTAATTTTTATCTGATTTGTAAATATAAATAATTACTCATGTAATAAATTAAAGATAATTTTAAAAAATATGTTTCTATTAGTCAATCATATGTAAAATAAAATAATAATTAATAGATATTTAATTTCTAACAAACTATTTCTTTGTAAGGCATCATAAATGATTAAAAAAATTATTATATGATATTTATTAAGTTTTAGTACATTTTTGATAATATTATTTGTTAGTATTTATTTAAGAAGAAAAAGATTATAACTTTTATATCATAAAATATTTTATTGGATTGTTTGGCAATTATTTTCAAAACAACATTTAACTTATACTGTATTACGTCTTTTGGACAAAATATAGTTTTTTTGTGACAAAATTGATAATAAAACAGATAAGTCAGTGCTTCTCAAAGATTACTTAAATTATTAGCATTACTTGCAATAAATTGATTAACAGAATAAGTAATGGTTACACTGAGAAAAATGCTATATTTTAATGAAGTATATAATATATAAAATATTAGAGTAAAATAAAAAATTATAACAATTAATTTTAACAATAATAATAATAATAATTATTATTATTATTATTATTATCATTTGTGTTGATTTTAGTGTATTTAATGTATATATGCCATCAAAAGTTAGTGATCAATAGTATCTGCTTTTAAATAACATCTTTTGTTTTTTAAAAAAATTATTTGTAAATGAAATTCTATATAAAAACTTATTTATTGAAATGAATTGATCGCTTTAGATAGTACTGGCATTATTTACTTATTTCTAAACCTATTTTCACTAATGTTATAAATTTAATTTAAGTTTAAAAACATTTTTTAAAATTCACTAAATTTATAACATTAGTGAAAATAGGTTTAGAAATAAGTAAATAATATAGTAGTTTAAACATTAACTAAAACATTACTACATTGTAACTAAAACTAATAAAAAAAATTATACTTTATTAATTATTAAAAATAATGATAATTTTAAATTATAATATGTATATAAACTATATAAACTATTTAAAAAGGTTGCAATGTTGAAATAACATGATAAATATTATCAACCATGTTCAATTTTGAAAACTAGCTGTACAACTAAAATAGAATTATATTTTTATTAATAAAAATCATTAATATGTTAGTTATTAATTAATTTAAAAGCACAATAAAATTTTCTTAAAATTCATTTAAAAATTAATAATTAAAATTTTTATTATATTTTCTAATTAGCATTATTTTTTTAGACAAATAAATATCACTAAATACTTATTAAATGTTATTAAAATTAAAAATACCCCTTTTTAAGAATTATTTTGTCTTCAATTCTACACTTTTTGAAAAAAGTTTTTAAATATTTATATAACACATATACTAAATTCAATTAATAAAAGTATTATATCTAATATATGTTTATTTAAAAAAAAAATCTCAGTGTAATTAATTTTATAAATTAAATATCATAATCTGTGCAATCAAATTATTAGTTAATTAGTTAATATCATAGTTATGAATTCAGCACTTTTTAATGATTTTTACTAATATCATAGCTTTCTTAACTTTTATAAAAGCAGAAATATATTTTTTGAAAATTTAGTTTATATTTTTGTTGTGACATAAGTGTATAAAATATTTAATACAGTATAGTGTTTTTGARAATTATTATAATTTTAATAAATATTATTAACAATTATTATAAAATTATGGATTTTGATCCCGAAATATATGATAATTCAAATAATGATACACTAATTCCGGCAAAACGATTGATTAAAATCATCAGTGAATTAAAGCCAAATAACAAGTATTTAAAAAATTTAATCTAAAATTTAAATAGTTATTCATTAAATATAATTTTTCTTATTATAAAACGTTTAGTAAATTTTCATTAATTTTGGACATCGGTTGCGGTTCGGGTAATATGACAAAACTTTTGGCCGATGAGATAGAGTGCGACCATATTATCGGTTGCGATATCGACCAGAAAATGATTGAATACGCAAAACGGGAAAACAAAAAATCAAATATTGATTACTTAGTTCAAGACATACAACGAGATTGGCTCGACTTTAATACAGAGCTCAAGGATTTGAAGGGAAAGGTGTCTGTCATAACATCAAACTTTGCATTGACTTGGATTCATGACATCAAAACAACGGCTGAAAATCTTTCGCATCTCATATCGGATGACGGCTTACTTGTATTGAATATTGTTTACGACGGAGATATTTATGACAGACTGGAGCCAAACGAGAGACTGTTAGCTGAGAAGTGTCTTAAATATCCCACTGAAGAGGAAATGATTGGAAAATGGATTACTTGTTTAAAGAAGTCTGGATTCAAGCAAATCGATATCACTTATTGGGAACCAAAATCTATATTTAATGAAAAACTATATTTTGAAGGTTTGTTTGTTTTCAAGGCCTTAATTTTTGAATTTTTTTTTATAAAATGTTATTTTAAATTATATTTTTATCCATTTTTATTACTGTTATATACAGAATATTTAAATATTCCGATGAATTGGTATAAAAGTTACGCAAAACATAGTAATGGCATTACTATGGAAATGAATGAACTATTGAAACGATTATTAATTGAAGATCGATGTAAACCATTGAATGTAAACTATAGTGACGGACAAAATATGATTGAAGTAACAAATTATATTTGGCAGATAATTGCTACTAAATGTTAATATTTATGTTATCAATTTATTTTTATTTTTTAAATTAATCAACTGATATATACAGTATTATGTTATTTAATATACTGTAGATAATTTGCTAATTTATATGTAAATGACATAATGTTTTATGTTGTTGTTGTTGTAAAAAAACTAAAAATAATATAAAAAGTATTTATTAATTATGATTATAATTTAATTATTAATATTCTAATTATTTTAACTTAGTACTTTAATTATTATGCTTGTTTTTATTTTGTATAATATTTTTTTAGGTTTAATCTAATTATTAAACAAAATGTATAAATATATAATAATAATATGATATTTTTATTTGTATTCATTAAGCATTTAATTGTGAGTTGTGACTAAAATTTAGTAATTTGATAAGCATTTAAATAATGCTTATTAATATCTATAATATTGTTGCTTAACATTATTTTTATTAGTTATGCCAATAATAATCAGCAATGATATTCATAAAATTATATGTAATGATAACATTAATATATTCTATAGTATAACTTATTAGATTACATTAAATTTATTATTTCTATTGTAGTTTAAATAAAAAAGTTTACTCAACTGTTTTACTGAATATAGAAAATACAGTAAACTGATTGATACAATTTTATCTTATAAAAAAATATTATCACTTTAGATATTGATCGTTAAGTAAATATTATTTTGTGACAAAAAATGCAATACTTCTGTGAATCAATTGATAATTCAATACAATAACGGCATTTAAGATGAAAGACAAACTTGTGTTACAGATTTTTAGTAAAATAGTTACAATTGAGTGCATAAATTGCAGTCAAGTATTATATCGATGATATACAGTATATAGTATATACTATACTGTAGTTACAGTACTGGGCGGCGTGTTATCAACTAAGATTCGTAACTTGCGTGCACTTAACTCCTCACTTAAGTGAAATCCTGTGTTATTAAACATTTTAGCAAGTTAGGTTTACGGGTAAGTTAGGAGAGGACTTAAGTATACAAAACTGGTTTTTAGGTGAAAAGTGTGTTAAGAAAACAAGTTAGTGCTAGAGTTAGGTGTAAAGTTAGGATAGCTTTAACCCAACTTTAGCTATACTTTAACATTGATAGTAATGTTTATTTTATAGTTTAAAATATTTATACTTATAAATTTAATAAAACACTGTATTATTATCACTACAAAAAAGAGTTACGTTTGCGTAAAGCAAAATATTTTGTAGTAACGCTACTCTATACTTAACTTAAGGAAATCGCAAACGTAAACCTAAGTGTATTCCTTATGATAACACTCACCCCTGTACTGTATATTACAAGGACTTAACGGTATTATTATTATAAAATATAACTAAACTGTTGGTAGCCTTCAGTAATGTAAACAAAGTTTTAGACATTTTATTTTTTTGCCAAAACTACATATTTTTTAATTTGTAAATAATTATCACCTTTTTTGGTATATTGATTGAGAAACAGTATAAAATTGTATGGATTAATCATTTAGTTAAACAATTGATCCTGGTCACACATATTCTACATATATATATATATATATATATATATATCAGGTATATTTTATATATATTTATTCTATTGAAAAGTGTTAGAAAAAAACAAAATATATTTGTAAAAAATATATGACACAACTTATGATATTATATAATCATTATATAAAGAAATATCATATAATGTGATTATTATTATTTATTTAATAGTGTAATGTTGTAAATGTACTGTTATTACAATTATGTAAATATATTATGTTTTAGATTTTCAAATTAAACTTTTATAAAATATTTAAATGTATACACAATCTACTAGTTATTGAAAATGTCGGTATAATTTAGTATTGATGACAAAACCGACACAATTTTTCCTATTATATGTACAGTCATTTCATTCATTATCATATCATTCATTTCAAATTAAAACTTAAATAATATTCAAAAATTAAATATAAAAGTAAAAAACGTTAATTTTTTACTTGTGATTTAAATTATTGAAAAATTAATAGTTTATAAAATAATTGTAAAATTTTATATTCAATTTTAATATACTATCATGATGAAATCACAAAAATTCAAATTAAATTACTAAGAAAATATTTTTAATTTTATTTATTTTTTGTGTAAATATCAGATGATATCCTTCTGTATTATAATATAAATATTTTAAATATCATGTAATTATGTTATAAATTTTTTAGGCCAATAAATAATTATTTTTTTAAAATTATTAGTCATCTCTTAAAGTTGTTATTTGTTTCTTATTGAAAAAAGTATAAAATAAATACATTTATCAAATTATAAAAATATAAATTAGTATTAAATTTATGATTTACGGTATCATAATTTTTATATAAAACTTTTGGTGATAGATTTTTTTTAATAACTACAAATAATTTGAGAAATAAATAACAAAAAAGGGATGGACTTTGATCCGGACACTTACGAAAAGACCAGTTTTGATGCTATACTTCCCGCAAAAAAACTCATCGAAAGCATTAAAGCCAAGAATGAGACCAATAAGTGAGATCTTTAATACAATTATTATATCAAATGTTTGTTTTTATGTTATCTACCGGTTCTGTAATGTTTGCTGTAATTTAAAAATATTTCTAAAGTAAATACACGATAGTATTGGACGTGGGATGTGGTCCGGGAAATACCGCAAAAATGTTGGCTGAAGAGCTTCAACCGGAACAAGTGATTGGTGTGGATATTGATCCCGAAATGGTGTCATTTGCCAGAACTAACAACTCAATGGAAAATAACAAATACTATACACAAGACGTGTCACGACATTGGGATGACTGGGATGTAGAGCTAAAACGTTTGGCCGGAAAAGTATCGGTCATATTCTCCAACTATGCTCTTCATTGGGTGCAAAATAGTGAGACAACTGCCAATAATTTTGCGAAACTCTTATCAAGCAATGGTATCGTTGTGTTTGATTTTTTGAATGTCGGAGATATATATCGTTTAATAAGTCCTGAACTGAGGACTGAATACGAACAATGGCTTCGGTATCCAACAGAACAAGAAATCATTGGTCGATGGATTACAGATCTCAAGAATGTTGGACTGACTAACATTGAGATGAAGTATTGGGAACCCATATCTATATATCCCATAAAGGTTTATGATGGTCAGTCATATTTATTGTCATATTTTAAAAGCATAAACTATTTTTCATTTAATTTTATTTGTTTGCCAGAGTTTATAAATATACCAATCAAATGGTTTAAGCAGTATTTGAATGACCAAAAGGTACCCAAAAATGTCAGCGTCGATGACATACTCAAAGAGCTGATCCTTAAAGAGAGAGGTAGAATAATGGCTGAAAAATGTCCAAAAGGTGACGATTTGATTGAAATTAGACAACATTTATGGGAGTTTGTGGTTAAAAAATAAATTAAAATTTTTTATATTTTATTTTATATTCAATATTTTATATTTTTACAGTAGCATTAAGACTTTTTAAATAAATTATTAATTATTTTGATATTTAACATTAAACTATAATACTGTAGTGATTTAAAGCAATATGTTTTACATTTATAAACATTTACAGATATGTATAAATATTGTACTGTATATCATAATATTGAAAAATAAATTAATTTCAGTCGACATTAAATACTAAAAAATAATATAAAAATTTAATTAATATTCAATTTAATAGTTTAGTCAGTATTGAATTCAGTTTTAATGATTGATTTTATTTGATTAATAAGAAATAATGTACTATTAATATATTGTGAAATAAATAAAAATTTTAAAATTTAATTTAATGTTTAAAGATTCAAAACAAATTTTATTTGTTTCCTAATGAACTATATTACGGTAATAATTTATTATTATATTCTATTAATTTTTTGTTTTATCTACAATATTAGTAAGTATAAGTATAAATATTAAATTTATATTTTTTTTATTAACAATAAAAAAACTGTTTGTTTAATAATCTCAATTGCATTGCTAGACTCACGGTTTATATATTCGGAAATATATCGGTGCGAAATCGGGTCCTATTTTAGTAAAATAAGCCGTAGTGTTAAAACAGTGCCCACAAATCAAACAACTTGTGATCTAACCATCAATGAAAGTGTCGGCAAAAAGATATTTGATGTTTCAACCAATCGGGATGAGGGAGATATACGGGTTAAAGTTAAATACACAGTGTTGGCTAATAAAGGTTTTGATTAAATATTTATAAATGTATAATATTTTGCATCAATTATACAAAAATTGTCAAATAATTAAATAATAGTAAACTATTTTCAATTATTTTAATTCATTTAGGTAATGAAACAGTGATAATAGCGGGTCGGGTAACTAAATCATATTTCAGAGATTGTATCGGCGATTATTTCATTAGCAAACAATATAATATAGTGACCGACGGAACATGCGGTACAACTATACGGCGTATGGACTCAAAAGTAGCCGATATTCAGATAATAGGCAATTGTAACTCATATTGTATGGGAAAAGTCGTCTATTATAATAAAAATCTGAGCCAAAGCTCGAAAACAAATATCGGTAATAATGATACCCATTGTTTCCGACGGTTTATTTCAAAAACGACATCAAAACAAAAACCATTTTAATGTATTACTTTATAATACAATTTTTGAATACAGAATACTTTTATATAARATATTTTAAATGACATTATATTATAACTTTCTTTATCGTATATAAAATTTTTATTGATTTTTCCACAGAATTAAGAAATCGTTTCGAAGAATTTGAAAAGTTTTTCAGCGAAAACAGTAATAAAAGATATAATAATAATAATTTTGGGATAAAATAAATGGCTTTTTAAATATTTTAAACTCTTTGATGTGCTATTTATATCAATTATTTTATGTTTTAGATAAAAAAAWTCATTAGTTATATAGAAATTTATATATAAAATTACACAAAAGATATTATTTTCTTAAAAAATATTGATATAATCAAATTAATATTTCTAAACTAGTATATGTAGTTGATTTTTTTCTATTTAATTATTAAATTTACTATTAATAGATTTATAAATAAAAATACATGATAGATTAAAATTAAAAATTATAATATGACTAATTTACTAACTTTATAATATAATTCAAATTTATTAACTCTAATTAGTTCAAAAAACTATCAATAAATGCAAACAAACAAAATAACAAATAAACAGATATCACATGTTTTTAATTTTGCAATCAATGTTTTCTAAATAACATATTGATATTATAAAAAGTTTTTATTATTTAAAAAAATAGTTTATTACTTAATCTATAGTATAATAATTTATGTTTTACTTATCTATAAAGACAAAGTGCAATATCAATTGGTTAAAGTGAATAAGTATTTTCCACTTAATATCTTAATAAACAAAACAAAATAGATAAATAATAAATAGGTAAAAATAGGTAAAATATACTATAATTGTATTATAATATTTAAAAGATAGTACTGTAATTTATTATAGCAAACTATAAGATATATAAATAATATACAATATTTTAATAATATGATATAGATATACAGTATATTAAATAAAAAACTGCTTACTAATGGTTTCAATATTCAATAATCTAATATTGATTTTAAAAATGAGAAATTTTAAAATCACAAAAATTCACATTAAATTACTAAAAAAATATTTTTTTATTTTTTGTAAATATCAGATGATATCCGTCTGTATTGTAAGATACAAATATATCATGTAATTATGTTATAAAATTTTTAAGCCAATAAATAATTGTTTTCTTTAATTATTAGTTATCTCTTAAAGTTGTTATTTGTTTGAAAAAAGTATAAAATACAAACATCTCACAAATTATAATTAAATAATAATTTATGATTACTTTTATAAAAAGTTTATGATTAAAATCGCATTTTAGTTTAAATACTTTAATATTAAGCAAAAGAACTTTTTTTAAAATAATAAATTTGAACTTAAATATGGATTTTGATCCAAATTATTACAATGACTTTACTGACTCCATACTACCAGCAAATAAATTAATTAATAAAATTAATGAAATGAGCAATAATAACAATAATATGTAAGTTATTGATAAATGTTATGCTATTATATTAATAATTGCTTTTTTATGATTACAATTATTTAGGATCGTGTTAGACATAGGATGCGGAACGGGATCGACAACAAAACTGCTGACACAACTCAACCCCAATCGTATCATTGGCTGTGATATCGATTCAAAAATGGTTGGTTTCGCGCAAAAGTATAACAAAACTTCAAAAATAGATTATTTGGTACAAGACTTTGGTGTCCAATGGGACAAACTTGACTCTCGGGTCAAACAAATGGCAGGAAAAGTAACCGCAATATTCACTAACTATGCGATGGCTTGGGTTTGGGATAAACAGTGTGCGGCTGAAAATATTGCCCGACTGCTGGCACCGGACGGTATATTTGTCGGTAACATACTATACGACGGCGACATTTTCCAATCGTTACCCGAAAGTGAGCGCTTAAAAGCATATGAATTAGTACCGTATCCGACGGAAATGGAGTTTATGGGCGGTTGGCTTATGGCACTCAAAAATGCTGGTCTGACTAAAATAGATGTAGAATATTGGGAACCAAAGATTATTATGTCGGAAAAATTGTATTTGGATGGTATGATTAAATTATATAAAAAATAGTGTTTTATTAGTTAGCTTTTTCTATAAATAATTCTTTTAAATATTTTATTCATATTTTTATTTATACAGAATATATAAATATTCCAATGAATTGGTTTAAACACTATTCTCAAGTGACTAATGAAGACATGGACTCATTGATGAAAAAATTAATTTATGCCGAAAGGTGTAGACGTATTGATCAACTGTCCACTGATGGTATGCAACAGATCGAGATTATTAACAGGTATTCAAGTATTTTATAAATTAAAAAATAATAATATTGTTATCTAATTAACCAGATTATGGCAAGTGGTTGCGCAAAAACATTACTAATATTTTTTTAAAAATCGCTAATGTAATCAAATTTATTATTTTTTCAATAATTCTTAAAATTAACTATTTACAAATATAATTTTGTTTTTATTTTTTAATCTGTTAAATACAATACATTAGTGTTAATTTTAATAATAATTTTTACTACCAGTATTTTTTTATTACCGGTAATTTTTATCAATATAATTAAATAATAAAACAGATATTTATATAAAAACAAGTTATAAATTTTTTTACAGTAAACAACAACATATTTTTTAATAACATAATAAATAATAATGTTATTTATTAAAATAAGCTAATATAATATTTTTAAAATTGTTTAAAGTTATAATATATTTATGTTATAATATTAGATATAATTGTATTTATTTAAGTATAATGAATTGTGAGCTAAACTTTATTATTAAATATTTATTATGTTATTTATATTAAATTGTGCCATAAATTATAAATATAATATCATTAATATAAATATAAAATAAGTTCTAAATATTGAAAGGATTTGTACTTAATATTATAATAATCAATAATAATAATAATATTTATTATTATTTCTACGATTTATTACCTACAAAATTTTTATTTATTACTAGTAGATATTTATAATATAAAAAACCTTTATATATGATTAAATTTTACAAATATTTTTAATATACTAACAAAATAAAAATAAATATTATAAATAACATTTTTAATAATTCACCTGAGATTTATTACTAAAGTTTGTGTCTATTACACTATTTTTGACGATATACTAAATTTTTAAATTATTAAATTATTTGACAAAAATTTTTTCATTAAAACATTATTTCATAAACTAATCAATTTTAATGTTGTGCTTTTGTATAGCCATAAAACATAAATATAATATAGTACTCAAAGAAGTTGGTCCACAATATATTGACAATCGGAAGAATAAAAAAAATGATGAGTTATTTTTTTGAGACAATTGATTGTTTTGAGCGATTACTTGACAAAGACAAAGATGTCGATATGTCAATGAAGTTGTCAATCAAATGTGATTATTGAGTATCTTTTTTTAGAGCACATCCATTATTACTGATAACTTAACATTATTTTCTGTTTAACAAAATATTTTTTAACAGTTTAAAAGTGTTTTGTAACAAAAAAACATTTTGCAAATAATGTCACTAAATGTCAATAAAATTTAAAATTTAAATGACTAGAAAAAGAAATTTATCGTCAAATAAAATTTATATTTTGTATAACTCTATTCTCATGTATTTTTTTAAATATAAACTCATTTTCATATATAGTCTTCAAACACAACTAGACTTTTGTGACAACTATTTATGACTATTTATTAACTATTACTATATATTTATGAGATTTAGAAGAAAAATCAATGATTTAGTTAAACATTAACTTCACTACAAGTAGTGTCTGATATGTCTTTTGTATGATTAGTATCGATGCCATCTATTCTAATATATTGTTGATTATGATTATTGTCACCGTTTGGATCAAAAGTTTGGACACTAAGGTTAAGACAGGACGTATCGACGTTATGTCTGTTATCAATTTCAGGGACCGATTCATCGCCAACACGACTAACATTGACAACGGTATTGGCATTTATAGCTCCGGGAGTTCCGTAATCATTGCGAACAATTGATTGTCATGTAATAGAGTCGGCCATTGATTCACAATAGTTATCTAAGCGACGGTTTGGCGGTAACCTCAGGAATATGTAACGCGATAGCAATGATAGCAATAATGACTCAAATAATAGCAATGAATTTCTTAAATCTGTTATAATAATTATAAATGTTATAAAAAATAATTTTAGTATTAATAATTCAAATAATATTTTAATATTTTATAGATGTCAGAAATATTTGTAATAATGTCTAAATTATTTGAATTTTCATTTTAAATGACTTAAGTCCATAAAACACAGATTTTATAGATATTAAAGTATTAATTTTATAGTAGTATGAAATCTATGAGAATTTTCAAAAAAAATCATTACATTATTGATTAATACTATTATACTGTATTACAGTATATTGAATACGGATCTATATTTTCAATAGTTTTAAAACATTGAAAACTTTTATTTTATACATAAAGTTTATAACTGTAAGTAGATTTATATGTGCTTATTATCTTCAATTTTATAAAGTGTTTGTGTTTATATATACTGTAATTTGGTTAATATATTATAGTAAGAGCTGAGTGAGATTTAGTAACTTTACAATTATGCAGATATAAAGTATGTCACATAATATACATGTTTTYTATATTATCCATCACTTATTCACTCACTCAAAGATAGTCACTTTCACTCACTCACTAACACACACACACACACACACACACACACACACACACACACACACACACACACACACACACACACACACACACACACACACACACACACACACACACACACACACACACACACACACACACACACACACACACACACACACACACACACACACACACACACACACACACACACACACACACACACACACACACACACACACACACACACACACACACACACACATTCATACAACTATAATATAGGAATAATAAATAATTTTGAAAATATCAAATGAAAACTTATTCTTAAACATAACATAAAGTCTACGAAAGTTGCGATAAGAGTTGACAAGAATAATGATTCCGAATATTTGAAGGCTATTAAAGATTATTAATATTACTATTACTATAAGTAAAATCAATAAATAAGTTATTTGATGTCCAAATGAAAGATTTTTCTCCAAACATTAATAATAACATTGCATTATTGATTTCTATGTTATATATACAATATATTATATTTAATATACTGTATTTACATAATGGATGTTTTTATTGTTGTTTTACATATATTTAACTATATTTTTAATAAAAGATGAATTATTTTTAATTGCAAAATTTATTTATAGTATTAAAAAATTGTTTCATTTAAAAATAACATATCAAATGTTAATAAATTATTAAAACTAATTAAATATTTTAATTAAATCTCATAGCTAAATAAATTTTTAAAAATATTATACTTAATAATGTAATTCATTATTAAAACTTATTTTTTTACTTATACTTTACTTATATATTTTTTAAATAATTAGTTTTATTATTTACGACTCATAAGGATAACATATAAAAGCTATTAGTTTACTAAAGCTTTCAATACATTTAATAATAATAATAATAAAATAAAACACTTTTTTCAATAAAAAGTCACTAATAATGTAATAGTGATTTGACTTTACTTGAGATTTCTTTTTTGAAATTCACTCAATAAAAATAATCACTAATTTAGATAAGAAATAATATCTTATATATGTTTCTTTAATTCAAGTATACCGGTATATAATAATAATAATAATTTATTATTTGTGTCGATATATTTTGTTTGAAAAAATTAGTATCATTTTTGGCAAAAAATTAATTTGTCAAAGTTAATGATCGATAACTATCGTAAGTTATATTAAGATAAAAATAATTATAAAGACAATAGATTTGTAATTGTGATTTGCTGCTTAAATAATAGTATCAAATGTTCAATTTAGTAATTTAAAACTAAAATAAAAAATTAATTATAAGACTTACAAAGTCCGTATACAAATGATGAGATGGGGGGTCGACAGGGAAGGAAGCCATTGGTACCCAAACCGTCAAATATTAAGACATGAAATCTTGTTATTACAAAATACATTTGCAATATATAGTATTTGCTTCGTATGTAGAAACCGGGTAATAGTGTTTGTGTCATCTTATAGTATATTTCCAATGAGTATATTCCCACACAAAACGAAAGGCCGCCCAACACCAGGATATATATGGCGGCGTTTTCAAAGGAAAACTATTTTTTTTATTTAATAAATTTATGTCAATATATTTTAAATATAAAAATTGTCTAAATTATAATTTTGCTCTATTTTTATACACGATTTCTTGTTAAATATACTTAATGCTTATTACCTGACCGGCCACATAGACTCCCGTTTTACTGGCCACCCCCATAGCAAAATATAGGAAACAGGGAGCCATAAATAATTGATATATACAAGCTTTCATCAAATAATATAACTTCCTATGAGAAGTGCAAAGAAAATGGGAAGGAAAAGAAAAATACATTTAATACAGTTATAAGAAAATTGTTATCAAAAATTATGTCATCTTTTTGTTGTAATCCTATCAATAATTGCGTGTATCTATCATTTTGATGTATAAAATAAAACATTGATTAAACTCAATTGAAAAGCATTATTCATAATATTTCATAATAACAACAATAACAGTCAAACTTATTAATGAAAACGTGATATAAATAAGTAAGAGATATATAATCTGTAATGATATCTAATATTATAGGAGTTAAGACTTTAGAGAAAAATTTATATCATTTATACAACATATTAACATTTTATTGATAAAATAACTGTAAAACTTATTTCTAAAATTTTTTGAACTATATATCAAGTTTTAAATTAAATTATACATCTTTAATACTATTATTAAATGTCGCTTTTGTATTAAATTATGTTAAACATAATAATTACAACAACAAATAACATAAAATAAATGAACAAATCTTTTTTTATAAAATTAAAATTATAAAAACTAAATAAAATATTTAACTTAATGTAAAAAAATCTTATATAAATAGACAATAATTACTAAATAATTTGATTATAAGATTAACTCAGTATTTAGAGTTTATATTCTACTTTACAACAAAACATTAATAAATAGATAATTATATGTGTTTTGTGAGAATATTCTGTAATATTCAGCAAATGTAATCTCAATGCAAGAATTCCAATAAAACAATACAACATTAATAAAAATAATAGTAAAGTAATATACATAATAATAGACTTGTATTTACTGTACATTTTATATATACAGTAATATAAAGTTATTCTACCAAAACATTATCAAACTGACTGTTGTGTTGTGCAAGTGATATATGATTCAAAAGATATATTTAATGAGTTTTATTTAAGTGAATATCTTTTAATATTGTATATTAAATGATTATAAAGTATATGAGAAATACCTATTCATATAAGTGGTTGGAAAACAAATGCAAAGTTGATAAAAGGGCGGTCCTTTCAATGGCATCAGTTGGCCGTCTAGTGTTTGTTTTAGTGTTTCTTCTCTTCCATAATAACTGATTACTAATTTGTAAAACAATACCAAACTTAAGGGCTGATAGAGTGTGGCTGTAGTAGTGTTGACATCGTGAGCGCGAGGCATCAATAGTGACAGTAGAAAACATAGCGATGCAATCTATCACATCGATTAATCAAATGGATTAGTAGTGGACAGTTGGGCACAAATATATACAATTTATTGATCATCGGTCAGTTAGTCTGGCACCGGGCTATTTCTAATCACTATTATTGACATTACAAATTAAGCTAAATGTGTGCACACAGTTAGCACATTTTTATTAAGTAATTACTTGAGTAAGCTATGCAATACTACTCTATTTGTTTTATGTATTGCTTATAAGTTTAATAAAATTAATAAATTTTATTTGATATGTAACTAAAGTACAGTACAATATATTAATGTAAATAATATAACTATAATAGTTTAAATATTTTTATAAAAATAATTTAACGTTTAAATCTACTACATTAATAAATCGTTTATTTTTTAACAAATAAATAGTGAATATTTTATGAGTAAATATTGTAAAAATGCAAATAAAATTTTAATATAACTATAATAGTAATATGGTGCATAATATACTGTATTCATAAAATATATGTATTAAAATTTATATAAACTCAATAATTAAATTAAGTAAATTTATTAATTATTTATTAATGAATGAATGAAACATTTATATGCAACATTAAACCTGTTTATCCATCAAAATATCAAATGTTTGATTTTATAAATTTATATTAATATTTTATTATTCACATTAAATTAAATTTCCCAAATATCGATTATTTTTGCAATTTTCTTAAAAAATCATTAGTTTAATACTACTATTATTAAATATAAATCATATTAGACAGATTTGCTTATGTATTATTATAGAGTAAATTATTTATTATAAGAATATTAATATGACATTCAAAATAAATAAGATATTTTGGTTAATACAGTATAAAAAATAAATATTAAATACCGGGAAGACAGCAATTGTGGCGACGGATATACAATACGACTTTAAAGACCAGTTTCGGTAGATTCTGAACATTCCTTCAATAAATATTAGGCTAATCAACACACTTATGATAGCGGAGCTCACAATTAGGACTGTGCCTAAAGTTCCCATTTCTGTAATTTAATCGATTAAATTTATAAAATACATTTATTTTAAGCGTAAAATATCTTTATTAAAATTATTAAAAATATTTRAATAATTAATTTTTATATTTAGAACAAAATGAAATTAAAATTATTTATACAATTATTTATACAATTATTTATTCTATGTTAYTTTATGTTATTTTATGTTATTATATTTAATATTCTAGTTTTATAACTTTATACAGTATATATATATGAAAACTTATATTATATGTAATTTAATTATATGTATATTTTTTCAATATTTGCTTAATAATATGCTACAATATTACTTTAAGCAAATAAATTACTAGTGTGTGTAAAAATAAGATAAAACTTAATTCAAATATAGTAAATATAATATTGAATAATATCTAACACAATAGACAAACTATAAGTATAATACAAAATTTTATGATAAAAATAAATTAACCATACATGTTTATTTTAGAAAACTTGTAATTAAATATTATATATATATCTTAATTACATATTATATGAAAATGAAAAATAATTGTTATATTAATAATAAATATTTGAATTGAATACCTGTGAGCATCATTGGCAGAGTCGGTATGTATTGCACTCTAATAAGATCATCGCAATTAAGTAGACTATAATTGACCACAAAATTTGAGTCAAAAGACATTTGATATGATTTTTAATTGTGGTGTTTATTGTAATTTTAATTAATTAGTTTTAAATTATTATTATAAAATATTAGTTTAGATGTTTACTGTAAATGTATTGGCTTTAACGCTCTTAGACCTGTAAAATATAGCTATTTTTACCCTTAGCTCCCGATTATTATAGCTCGCGATATTGAATTAATACTAAACCAATCAAAATTTAGAAATAATTTAAATTGTTTAACGGTTTCACAGTCATTAATAAATTGTTAACTCATACTAGCAAAACCCATAAGCATAATCTAATGGTAAAATCAGCTTAAGAAGTTGAGGAATAGATCATATTATCATTTAATGGTAAAATCAGCTTAAGAAGTTGAGGAATAGATCATATTATCATTTAATGGTAAAATCAGCTTAAGAAGTTGAGGAATAGATCATATTATCATTTAATGGTAAAATCAGCTTAAGAAGTTGAGGAATAGATCATATTATCATTTAATGGTAAAATCAGCTTAAGAAGTTGAGGAATAGATCATATTATATTTATATCAGCTTAAGAAGTTGAGGAATAGATCATATTATCATCTAATGGTAAAATCAGCTTGTGATCTAAAATTATACATTTGCTATTAGTATTTCCAGCTATTTTTACCATTAGATGATAATTGATCTAATTATCATCATCTTCAGCTATTTTTACCATTAGATGATAATTGGATCTAATTATCATCATCTTCAGCTATTTTTGCCATTAGATGATAATTGGATCTAATTATCATCATCTTCATCTATTTTTACCATTAGATGATAATTGGATCTAATTATCATCATCTTCAGCTATTTTTGCCATTAGATGATAATTGGATCTAATTATCATCATCTTCAGCTATTTTTACCATTAGATGATAATTGGATCTAATTATCACCATCTTCAGCTATTTTTCCCCATTTTATAATTTGTGACTAAGTATAAATGAAAAAATTTAAACAAATTTTATAATTGCTTATTAAAGACATACATAAAATAAATCTTTATTAACATATGGATAAATTTTTAAAATCAACTATAGTTTAAATTTAATTCGATCAATTCTGATTGGTTGATTTGCTCTGTGCCGACGGCACACTTTAGGATTCAAAGGTATACATCGATTTGTGCCGATGGCACACGTTTGTTGTTAGCGCGTTAATAAATAAATATCATTGTATATAGTATACATGATATGATTGTTATAAAATTTAGTTTAATGGTGTAAAATTGAAAAATTAATTTTCATTATTTTCATCACAACGATAATCATCCATTTATACACCACATTATTGAGCAATATATGATAATAAGTATTTTTAATAACATAAAAGCCTTGAATCCATTCACAAATCAGAGTATTTCATTGTATGGTATTATAGTTTATCTCATTTAATCCAAATTAACATCAAATAGGCATCATATTTGCTAAATCCTAAAAAACATCAAAAACGTTAATTATTTTAGAAATATCTAAACATACAAATTCTAACCTAAATATTTATTATTTTAATAATATAACATTTTAACTTTTTTCTTAACATATCAATACAAAAATAAAATATCAATAGAATGTATACTTAATAAATCGATAAAAAAATATAAAAAATATTATTATAATGTATGTAATGTTTAAAAACTAACTAAATATTATATACAAACTCTTTTATATGTATAAAAATATTCTGTTATATGTTATGCAAAACTAAACAAAAAACACTATTTTTACAATCATTTTTACTATAAGTCTTTTGAAAATAATAACATTTTTAGCAATCAAAACATATGTTTGACATAAAAATAAACATAATGTCTATTATTATGACTTATAGAACAAAATAAAAACATTAAAATTTCAATCATATGTTTGTTAAAATACTAATATAAACAAAATGTATATAATGTGTAATTTGCTGAATAGAAAATATAGTATTTGAAAGAAAAAATAAATAAATTATAACAATAATTATTTCAAATATAATAATAGTATTTAATTTATGTTAAAAATAGTTTTTACTTTATAATTATGCTATAAATAAGTAAATTAAAAAATAAATATGGAAACATACAACTAAAATCAATAATATGTTACATATTATAAAGTATGGGACATCATTTGATATACTATATAGTAGTATATATGAAATAATTAAGTATTTTTTATCAATATTTGACGTCAATAATAGTAAACACAAAATTACAATGAATACAATGTATCTACAAATGTAATTGAGATAAAAGCATCAAACATTCAATGCATGCAAGAATCGTGAGTAAAGCTATTATCTAAATGCCTATAAATTTTATACATATTTTCAAACATTCAATGTTATAATAAATTTATGATTTTCTTGATAAATACTTCAAACATTTAATTAAAAAAATTACTTACAATTTATTAGTCGATAAAATCAATTTATCGGCGAATGTGAGGGTTTGCTCTAAGATATAGACACCAATGATGCAGACGACTGTCCACACATCATGACTATCAGTACTTCACACAAACAAATTATGTGACTCAATGCAACACAAATTTTGTTGTATTAAATATATTGTACAGTAAATTCAATATTTCTCTCTTTCTCTCAATATATATATATATATATATATTTCTCACTGATTTTGCTCAGTCCGTCCATTACATTGAATACTTCTTGCAAAACAACACATACAGTACTATTTGGTAACATATGACAAGCCTTTTATAAAAATCGATTTTTGCCATTGAATTCCACATAAAAATCATTTTTTTCTCTCTCAGAATATATAGAAAGTTTACAGAATATTCTGGTGTATTGACTGCACATGTATTTTAAGAGCGCCGGCAATCTGGTGCTCTCTATCTGCTATTTTCCCTCAATTCCCTTGAATTTGTTTTTTATATTTGTTTTTGTCTTAAACTTGTAGTAATATAAATGGTATTATATAGTTGTTGTACAAAATATGTCAATATTTTGTAATCTACTATTATTATTATTTGTTATTTTTGTTAAAATATAGTCTGAATGTCTAGCCATTTGATTTTGCTCTAAATTACTGATAATAACAAATGTATAAATAATTATCGCTTTTGTGTGATGACTAAAAATCTGAGTCATAATAAAATTATTTGTAAAAATGTTATATATTATCATAAAGTGGAAAACATTAAAATTTTTTAGGAATGTATTAGTTAAATATTGATATTTATTACAGATAGTTGTCATATCACTCCTAGAATTAAATAATTTTCTAAAACAATTTAATTTTGTGTTAAAACAACAGTTTTTCTTATAAATTAATTAATTTACTTAATATATAATTATAAATAGCATTATTATTTAATTATTCAAATTGCTCATTTTCATAGAATCAAAATTTAATTTAAAATAATTTATTTATAATTTTCTATTTACTTTATTATTATACTAAAGTAACAGAGAGAGAGAGAGAGAGAGAGAGAGAGAGAGAGAGAGAGAGAGAGAGAGAGAGAGAGAGAGAGAGAGAGAGAGAGAGAGAGAGAGACCATTATAAATAATGAAAATAATATAAAGCTCATTTGCATGATTGTGTGTGTCATATATTCTTTAATAATGTATTAATAGATTAAACATGTTTTATATGATTTTTAATCAATGGATTTAGAGATTATGTTTTTTAATAATGAACAGAAAAAATAATTTTTTCAATACAATAGTTAATATTGTTGATTAAATTTTACAAATTATATATTTTTTAACAATTATTTATATAACATATACAACTTGTGTTAATCATTTATTACAATAATAGTTTTTATTAATTTAATAAACAAAATTAATAATGTTTTATAAGTTTTAATAATTATGATTTATCAATACAATCACAATTTGTCCTATTAGACAATAATATAAAATTTATATAATAAATATATAGTAAATATTGTTATATTGTCATACTGTACTGTATTTTAAAAATATATTTTAATTTAATTGACAAAACTAAATATTTTATTACTAAAATAATATAATGTGATTAATTCTACGATATTATATATGATTATTGAATATTATAGTAGATTTTAAATATTTATAGATAAACTATTTTTACAATTAAATATATTATAGATTTTTATTTAATTAAATATTAATATATATAGTTTAATAGAGATGTTTATATTGACAATAAGTACAGTAGATTAAATTAATATAGATATGTACATTTATATATAAATATATATATATATAATTTTATATATTATTATATGTAGTATTTAAATAAAATACACTAAATTTTATCGATACTTTTATTGTTAATTTTTAAAACTTACAAATAATTTTTTGTTAAATATAAATTATTTGTGTTATATAAAAATTCAAACTTAATAAATGCAAATAAATGACAAACTATAATACAGTATAATAAACAAATTCAATTCAAGTTTTTTCTTAATATAAATTTGAATTTTTAAATTAAATTATTAACAATAAAGTAACAATTTAATAATTGATTAATTTGTACGATTTTATTGTAAGATTTATCTAATAAAAATATATAATTTTAATTAACTGTAATAATACATTGTAATAAAAACATCAAATATAAGTAAATATCTAATAGTAATTTTTACTTAATAAATCTATGCGATAATAATATTAATAAAGTTTATTAAAATACATAAATTGCAAGATTATATTCAGTTTTTATTTTTTTATTAAACTATTATAAAACAATATTATACTAATTTCTAAGTATACTTAAATAATAAAAATAATAAATTGACAAACATTTCTTTTGAATTATTTTATAAATATTATATAAAATTAATATAAGATGAGTTAAATTTTATTAAATGTTATTTATTATATAGACAGTGTTATTGTAAACTATTTAAAATTGATTAGATTATAAAATAAAACTAATATTTTGAAAGTTAACTAAAATATTTTTTCAATTGTTTGTAAAGCTGTTCATCAATGGGAGAACATTACGGATCATATCAATGCTATGATTGCATAAAAAGTTAAGATAAATATAATCCAATTGTGTCAACACATTAGTGTCAGTGAGACAACAAAATTGATTAATAAATTTTGAACGATTTATATCAAACCAATAGTTAATCTGCCGGTCAGTGTCAGCATCGTTGCTAGTATTGCACATTTCGTGCACCGGTATGTAAAATGCTATCATCTGAACAATAGTTTTCGATTGATTTATTTGTATTGACGGTTGTGTCAGGTCGTGACCAACTGAAGCAAACAACGAGTTAGGCAACAGTTTGGCTAACATTTGCGATAAAAACTGGTGAAGTGTTATTTGGGATCCGATATTACTATCGGTGCTGTCATTATTCAATGGTATAATTAGTAGGATATCATCATTGGATGCGCCGATAATTATTGTATTAACGATATTTTCAGGCAATTGATTGTATCGRTGACTCTCAAAATACTCTAATATAGAGTACAATTGGAGTATCAATGAGTTGATCTGTTTTTGTTCAAATGTCTTTGCGCTCATTGAGTCCAACAAACAAAATTGGGTCCATTTGTAGTCCAATACAAGAACCAGTTCATTGTGGACACGAAATTGGTTGACAATCGGTGCACAATAACAGTCAGATAATACCTATAATTATTGTAATTTAATGGAGAAATTAATTTTAACATTGATTTTAATTAATAGTTCTAATTTAATATACAATTAAATRATATATTGTATATACAATTATTGTCACTTAAACATGTATAATAAAAAATTTTCTGATTTTTGATTAATTAGTTTTATAAATATCACGTTATTGTAATTTCATAAATGTATTGTATTTAAATGCATTTATATTTACAAGTTTGTCTCCCATAACGACATTAAATTGACATTATTTAAATACCAAAAATATTATATCAATATATTTATTGCAAATATTAATGTTTCTAAAAGTAATTAATAAACAAAAATAATTTTAATTATTCATGTTTTTTTACATGTTATGTTATGTTTGTCATTGAATATTTGTTTAAATTGTATGCAAACATATCTAATTTTAAGTTAATTTTTTACATTCAAACAAATAATAATAAATTGATTTCTTGTGAAACCTTTATTTAAGTAGATATTTGCTCATAAAAACTGCAATTAAAATACTGTAGTTAATTATGTAGTTTTTATACAATATAAACTATTACAACTGTACAATAGATCTCATTTCAAATGTATACTATTATTAATAATAGTTATTAAATAGTAAAAGTGAACTAAATATATATAATATATTTAAATAATAATTATTAAGTGAAAATAAATTGTGTAATTTATATGAGTTGTGTTTGTTTAAAAATATTATAAATTAGTTTTCATTTCAATGGTTTTAAAAATATGAAAAAATGCTTAAATTATAAAATGTTTTTTTTTTTTTGTAAATACAGTATTTATATTCAAAATGAATCATTGAATCGATTCAATAAAACTTATAATTTTGTACAAAAATAACTTTAAACCTATTATTATAAATAATGATAATGTGTGATAATATTTATTAGTTTTTAACTCTTAATAATTATAACTAATAAATATTTTCATGTTTTTTTAAATAATCATTAAAGCGTTTAATTTATTAGAAATACTAAAACGGAATAATGTAATTAAAACAATATTTACTATAAGATTATATAAAATACTACTACAAAGATAATATGTATTTACTGTATATATATATATATTGTAGTATTATTTAAACTAAAACTGATTTAAAATTCATAATCAATAACAAACAATAACTAAAAATGACAATTATTTATAATGAGTTTGGTATTAAATTTACTATATTATCTAATCTTTTATAAGATAAAATTTTATACAAACATTTATAAAAACTTTTTTTTAAAAATTATTTTATATTTTTTGTAAATCACTAAATTTTCTATAGTTTTCAGTTAAATCATGTTTTTGCGTATATTTTTTCATTATTAATTATAAAATCAAATTATATTATTTAAAAATATGCTGAAGTGTAAATACATTAATAAAGTAAATTTTTAAATATAATTTAACTAATTAATAATATATAAAATTAATTAAATCAATTTATGTGTTAAAAATTAAGTTCAATAAAACTGTTCCGTTAATGAGATTTAAACTTTTGTATCTCAAGACAATTGGTCACAACTTCCGGAACATTAATGTCATAATAAAAGCAATTGTTTATGTCTTAATATATTTGATTAATGTCAAGGATTGCAATATTAAATAAATTTATTAAAATAAAAATTTAATTGTTTTTTTCAACATTAATATTATTAGTATTTCAAGAGAAAACTTAGCAAAATACTCAAATTTTTCATTAAACTATACAAATGTTAACAAATAATATATAATATTCTATAATATGTACATTAAAAACAATTATATAAATGAAGTTAAAATTTATAATCCATGAAAATTATGCTTCAATATATCGTCATGCTTATGTATTATACTGTATTATAATGTACTATAATGTACTATAATGTACTATAATGTACTGGATACAATTATGAAAATATAGTTATATGAATGGACGATCTGAAAGTGTCATATTGTTAGGTATGGGTAGACTCAACACTATAGTATATAGAGGACAATGACTTGTTATGTTAAGTAACGTGAATCATGATTACTGTCATTCATATATTGATTTATTTCATTGATATTTTGACCAAATTTTATAATAATTTTAAATATTTGGTGATAAAAATAGAAATACTGACCACTAGATTGACAAACTTTCGTGTATCGGAAACAATACAATCTTTGTATACTTTAACCGAACCCAACGTCAAAGCGGTGGTCACTTCAAAATCTGTCCACTTGTATAACTGTTGACTACACTTGGATTCAATCTTGAGCTTAATRGCCAACAAATTAGACAAATTWGATTTCGCCAATTGATTGTACGCTTCATTTAGACTGTTCTGGACAGTGGTTTCAGCTATCGGTGCTTTTTGATGTATTGAGGTATTTGTAATATTATTGGCAGTAATTGTGATATTTGTGTGAATAGGCAATGAACTACTCTTTTCAAGTGTTTTGTGATGTAAAACCACGGGCACGGGTGGCGGTGGCTCGCGCTGGTGGGCTAATAATCCCGTATTGGGAACAGACTTATTTCGCCGACGGGCAGGTACTGATGGCCGGTTGACTTTTGGAGCCCTTGGAGGCGCTTCTGGAGGTTGTTCAGATGATTGTTCGTTAGTTGTGTACTGTTTTACTTGAATATTGGTGGTCATATCGCTGGGATGAAGAATCTTAATGGTTGTTCTATCAAACTCTGATTGTTTCCACGCTTTTCTATCACTGGAAGTGTCCGGAGCTGTTGATAGTGTCGGCTCACTAATTGTAACTTTATTTTTGTCGGATATCGCTTTGTCGATCTTCTTGTGCAATAACTTTCTAATAGATGAAAATCGTTGTTTCATTGGTGTCGATGAAGATGTGTTTAATGCAGAAGACGAAACCAATTGTTGTTGTTTTGTTGTCTCACTTTTGTTGTTAAAAATAGTTAGTTTGCTTTCAGTTGCTGTACTTTTATAGTCGCTTTCAATCGAGTCATCGCTWATCTCTGGCGATGAACTGTTTGGCGGCTGCGGTGCCGGCCGTTTCACTTGTCGACACTGTTCCAGTTCTTGTGCCAATTCAGCCAATTTGATGACTCTGTGCTTGTCRTGTGCTTCAGGCGATATCGATTCTTCTTCTTTATTATCAACTAAATAGTTATTATCAATACTTTCAGATAGACTGCTATACATGCCATCCATGCCATTCATTTCCTCATTGGATTCATTGATATCTTGATAATCGGGATCACATATTATTTGTGTCACACAGTTATCATCAGTTTTGAACATTTCTTCATTAGTAAATGTGTCGTTAATTTTTTGTATTGAATTTACATTCATCTCTTCTTCTTGTTCTTCAACTGGATTAGTATTGTTTACAAATAAAGTCATCGGAAGTACCGATTGTTTAGCTGATGGTATCTGCAATACGGGTGCCATCGGAGTTGTTGTTGTTATTGTTTGTGCATTTATTTTACCCATATTTGGTTTCATCGGTAGTTCCGGTTTGGATCTGACTTCAGGCCTATAATTAGCTTTAATATCGAGACTTGAGTCAGAAGTTGTACTAAAAGTATCGGATTCTGAATCAGTTTTCAAATGTTGTATACTATTCGTTGATATCGAATCTTTGCCAAAATCTAATGATTAAAATTAAATTACAATTAAAAATAATTTAACAAACATTACAGCTATTTATAAAGTTTTTAGATATCATTTTAGATTTTTAGTAGATTAGACATCGACTATAAAACTATTAATTTAAAATACCTGAAGAACCCGARTCATCTTTTTCATCGCCAGATGAATAGCTATCACTAGAAGTAGACATTGGACTGATGTCACTGTTACCCGAGTCTGGTGTCGGCGCCTGTGTATCACTACTATTATCACTACAATTGCTTCCACTACTCAAACTATTATCAATAGTTGGGTCATTGAGTCCAATCTCGACTAACTTCTCGCAAACTTTAGGTAATGTTTCATCAGTATTACTGAACCTCACTATTGACTTCTGATAGGAATCATTGCTATTATTATTGATAATATGATTAGCATTATCAGCACCGGTTGACCCACTAGTGGCCACTTGTTTACTGTCAATCAATTGGGTTTCTGTTTGATTGACAGTCTGTTGTTGAAGTTGTTGTTGTTTTTATACTTATTGTCGATAAACTTCTTAAAGTTGGCATAATTAGCGTTAAACAATGTATTTTTATACGTCAAGTCACGCAACTCTTTATCATCGCTGCTGTAAATGTAGTCATCCTCTGTGTCGTCATCGGAGGCTTCATAATCATCATCTGAATCACTGCTATACTCGTAGTCAATATCTCCACATCCGATAACCAGTGGATCTCCGTCTTTAAAAACAATGCACCGATTCTTCGGTCGATATTTGATAAGATCTTCATTGGTCTGTGACTTCAATATACCTTTGGTTAACATTAGAGTACTGTTTGTGGCCGACACTGGGGAACCACAACCGTTAGTGTCTTTATTATGGTTTAACACATTTGTCACATTTGGCACATTTGTTGTCACACTATTATTAGTACCTAAGTTGTCGACAACAGCACTCTTATTGTTAGTCTTAAGATTGTTCTCATTGTTTGAAAAACTTTTGTTTTCGGATTTCGACGATTTTTGTTGTTGTTGTTGAAGTAGTGGTATAATACCGTTCCTTTCAGTGCTGTCACTATTAACAGTATTTTTCACCAATAGCTTGTTGTTGCTGTCGGTATCGGTATTGTTATTATTATTTGAATTACATTTACTATAAGTTGTATTATAATTGACACAACTTTCCTTCTTGTCGTTGACAGTACTACTACTACTACTACTGGTGTTGTTTTTGTCTGTAATACCAACTTTCCTAAAGTCATTACAATTATTATTAATATTATTACTTGAATTATTAACATTATTATTATGTTTGACATTTATATGATTAGTTGCATTATTATTATCTTTAGTTGTATTATAATTTAAGCCATTAATCATTTGTTGATTTGTTACCAATGATTGCTGTGAGGAAACATGAGTTGAATTTAATTTAATTTTCGTATTATTCATCACTATTTGTGAGTTTAATTGATTATTATTATTCCCACTATTTATTGTCAATGTATTGATATTAGTCGAAAACTTTTTAACATTTATATGATTGCCATTAATATTACCACTAGTTTTGATACACTCTTTGGGTACCGATTTTTGTATTGAGTTATTTGTATTAATTTGTTGAATAAAATTGTTTGATGTGAAAATATTTGCCGATTTAGCCAATGGTTTGATTGCCGAGTGATTTGTTTTGCCGTTGGTTTCTATGAATAGTCATTAAAAAATTATATAACAGTATTTATAATAAAATCTTAATAATTAATGACTATTAGATAACATACAAATATAAACGTGATTTTCTAAAAAACTTTTTAGTCGCTTAATAAACAGTGCAAAAATAAAATTTAATTGATTTCTTGTAATCAACTAATTTATACACAAAAATTAATTATCACTTAAATATAATTTTATATAAAAAAAATTATATTATGATATAAAAGTTGTACTAAAAAAATCTTTCATGCATTTATTCACGAAATAATTTTAATTATATTTAAATGCTATGCATAGTATCGTATAGTTAGCAATAAATACTGTATGTCCTAACCATTAATTACTATTAGACATAATATTCTAATGTTCCTGTTTTATAATATTGTAAAATATTTGTTATTATACTATACTGTATTATATACATAATAGTTATATATTGGAYTAATACAACAACATGTCTAATGTTATCAAACGGCATTACTTATTGACTTATATGGCTTGTTAGTAAAAAAAACATTAACACATATATCCAAGTTGATTTTTTATGTTTACATAACATGATTAAAATAGGAAATCCGTCAAAAAATCATAACTTTTTATGGGACAGTTGTATTCATAGGTAAAAAATCATGGATTGGTATTGTATTAACTTTCATGTTTGGGACGCAACAGCTGTACAGTATATGTGTGCTAAACTAAACATACATTTTTTTATTATAAAATACAAACATGTAGTGGCATAATATCAATTAATTTATTTGATGTATCATTTTTAAATAAATAAAAAAAATTAAATATAAATTAAATAATAATAAGAAATAAAAAGCTATGACTAGTATTTAGATTTTTAGTTCATAGACCATTAAACTGCGATACAAACAGATAATATGATGAAACTAAAAAATGTTATTTTATCGTTATTTTAAATTTTTTATCACAAAAAAACGTTTATTAATATCTGTTAGATCTCTACTGAATAATACTTCATAAAAAATATTAAATTGCATTTCATTTAAATTACTACTATATAATTAAAAATTATAATTAAAATTTAGTATCATCATGTGAATTATGAATAGCTAAAATTTTAACTTAAAAATTTAATTTTAGCAATATTATTATTATTATTATTAGTCATCAAGATAACAATCTCTAATTCCTGTTTATAAATTATATTTTATTATAATTAAATAAATAATATTTCGACCTTTTGACAAAATAATAATAATAATAATAATAATAATAATAATAACATTGTTTGTTATAATTATAATAATTATATGTCATTGTCATTTTATGAAATCATCATCAGTAATATTATTATTATTATTATAATTATTTTTTTATTATAAGGATTAACATTGAAAATTTGGTGATAATTAAAGCTAAATAATATTTTTAAATAAATATTTCCAAATTGAAAGCATAAGCACACAATCCTTGACGTGAAATCCTTTTTAATTTTATTTTGCAAACAAAAATTGTATATTTTTTATACATATATTTGTGTATTTATATCTATTTGAATAATAATATGATAATTATGTTTATTCATAATAATATTAAATTATAACAAACCTTCATTAGTATGAAAATGATTATCGTTTTGTTTGTCAGTTTTGGTCAGTGTCTGTGTTGTTGTTGTTGTTGTTGGATGTGATGACCCAACTGAGCAATTGTTGTGTTCGACTTCACTTTTGAAGCAATTGCTACACAAATCCTTTTTCCAGGCGTTTTGGGCAAAGTTTGTACATATTATGGATGCCATCACCGGTTCACTCATAGCTCATACCTATGATGTGTTTATAATAATTTATGGGTCTGTTGTTGTAGTTGTCCGGGTGTTTTCAAGTTACCGGTGCTATCATACAGTATTTGCAACAATTTATTATTACTTTTTTATTTGTTATGAATCACCAAATTCTGTAGAAAATAAAGGAAATCAACTTTAATAACATTGTATTTTTTAAAAAAATTTATAAATATTTTGCATTAAAATCTATATTTATAAAGATTATAATCGATTAGTTTTAATATTATAAATAACATTATAAATAATTTAAAACATTTATTAACTGATTAACTGACATAAATATCAAACTTCACTATAAGAATTTAAAATAAGAAAAATTAAAATATATTTATAAAATTACATTTTCCGATAAAATATTTTACGTCCAATAAATAAAAACTTAATGTATGTGACTTATAACAACATATCAATAGCTAATAATAAAAACAAATATAAAAAACCATATTATAAATACTGTATAATACATCTAATTTTATATATAAACACATTATATTATTTTGCAATACCATCTGTGAATTAATGTTAGCTTATAAAAGTAATAACTAGTAATATTAATATTAATATGACATAAAATATATAATTTTATATATATAAAGTTTATATAAAGTTTAAAATAATCATACAAATATTAACACAAAAATTACTTTTAAAACATATAAACTTTAATACCATACATACTGTATAAATAATTGTCAACTAACGAAGCAATTGTGTTGAATAAAATTGTTGGTAAAGTTTAAAAAAAATGTTTTTCATTAAAATGAAAGGTATTAGAGATAAGGTACAGAATATTAATGTGTTTGGAAACTAATTGACATTTCCGTAAATTTGCCATAACTTTTACCTCACTTTCTTTACCTCAAAAAAACAAGAAACAGTTGTTATGTTTTATGTCTCGACTTTTTTTTATGTGTGTGTGTGCTGTCGGTTACCGTAGTCTAGCAATGAGAGAGTGCCTACATTTGTGTGTTATATAATAGGCCATTGACCATAACTTTGTGTGTGTTTTTGAATAAAATGTAAAAAACATTTGTCGTGTGATTATCACAATGATTGTGATAACATAACATAACATTAAGTATTAAATTTTAATATTTATTTGTTTCTTACAATGTGTTTTGATTTGTTGAAGTTTTAAACATTTTTATTATGAGATATATGTGTTTTTTAAATAAAATAAAAATTATGAATAAATTTAATAAATAATACAAAATATTTTTGTATAAATAAAAAATTCAAATCTTTATTTTTAAAATATTCCGTTGAGATTCATGTTAGTGTATATAAAAAACAATAATTCATTAAAATTTATGTTTATAGTCCTAAATTTATAATTGACATTAATTTATTCACCAACTAATTTAACATTATTTGATATTTTTGTTGTTTTTCTATTGTATATAAATTAATGTTTAAATAATTTTGTTGTTGTTGTTGTTGTTGTTGTTTATGCCATTAATTATAATGATTTCTAGTCTAACATTTCAATCCCTATTATATAAATTCCGGAAATTTTACTACTATATAAAATGACATCTTATGTATAGCTAATATTAAAAATAAAATGATATAATTTATATATGAAATTATTATTATTATCATATTTAATGATTTTAATAAACATAGTATTTTGCATGTGATAGTTAAATAATAATACAATGTTTAATTTATTGACATATTAAAAAAATTATTTATCATTAAAATTATTACAAATGTAATTTGACTTTTTTTGAGAGATATTGTAATAATCATTATAAAAATTATAAAACATGACAAATAACCTAAAATTTAATATCAATATTTAAATGTTTAGATAATAATATACTATTACTCATAATAATAAAGTAGTAAAAATTGATACTAATGACTATTATTGACATTAATATAATTTTTATTTAATTTTAATTTATTTGAATTAATTCACATAAATTCTATATTAATCCAAAAATATTTTAGTTATTTCATAATATGTATAATTAATATTTATTATTAAAATATTATAAAATAAAATTAGTTTTTTTAATATTTAATCAATTTATTAATATTTAAAAATGCAAACTTAATATGTTCAGCAATTTCTAAATACTTGAAAATTTAATAATATATATGTTACTATGATTTTCAAATATAATATTTATTATTTTTGTTTTTATTTCAACAAAAAATTACTAACTTTTAAATATAGTATAATATTTGTTATTATAAGTACCGATAAAATAAAAAACAATTGTTATATAACTTTGAAACACAATCTTTGTATAAATCAAAAAACACCTCAATCTGTGTTCAAATTTAAAGTTTTAATACTAAATACCAGTAATTAGTGGTTATATAACAACAATAGAGGAAGAGATTAGCTATAAATTTAATTATAGACTTTTTCCAGAAACTGATATAAACAATCAACTATTGTTTTTGTATTATTATTTTTGTTATATTTTTTTGATGGGATTGTCATACAAGTCAATGGGTTTGGTGCCAAACACAGTATAATATATATTTATGTAGTATATAGTACTATACAAATTATTACTAAACAATTATATCATTTAAATTGATTTTCAAAACGTTAAAAATATATCATTAAATAGTAATCAAATCAATAATGCAATGAAAGTCTAATTCTTGTGCCGACACACACAATGACATCAGTGCCGGTAATATTGTGTGAATGCTTTACATTATGTAAGTTAATATTTAAGTTATATAACACTCTATTGTTGTTTAGATATTAGGGGACAACCTTTCTATGAACTGTGTGTATGTATGTGGTGTATATGTGTGTGTGAGAGAGAGAACATTTATATAATAGTAATGGCAATGACTGGTCTCGGGTCAGGTATGCTCATTGAAAATTTAGTTGTTTTCAGTGTTTAAAAGATATATAACAAATATATATATATATATAAAAATATAAATACAATTTTAAAATTTATCGCTATAATATAAAACTACCCGGAAGTTTACTGTCATTTCAATTTTTATAATAATAACTAAAACTACTATAACAAAATGTATATAAAAATTTCCTTAAAAAACTAAGAGACTAAAATTGTTAAATTTTTTATTATTATTAAATATCAACATTGTTTTAAAGTTAAAAAACTAATTTTACTATTATATCATGGATTTCTATAAATTGCTCAATGCTTTATAAGATTTATAAACTTAAATATAATATCTATCTTATGTATTTGATTGTATCAATTTGAATACAATTATCCAAATAATTTTTATCATTTCAAATAATATTATATTATAGATATTAGATGTAATGTTGTTGTTATTATTGTTGAATAGTAATTTTAGCAAAATTAAGTATATTTTTGCTATAGTATTATTACTATTATTATTATCGTTTAGATTATTATAATATAAATCAAACATAAATTTATATACATATAAATATTAATAATGTAAAACATGATTTTTACTAAATATATTAAACAATAAACAACTAAATATATACATTTTTATATAACTATATTTTATTACTGTTATATCTGTGGGCTATTGTTTGGCCAAATATCATAAATATTAATTATAGACAAAAAATAAAATATTTTTTCGTTTTGAATTTTAGGACAATTTTGACATTGTATTGATCTATCAGATATACCATTAAAATATCATAAAAAACATTTTACAAATAAAATAATCAATATCTATATTTAAATATTAATATTAAAAATTATTATTTTAGTACATGAATTACTGATAAGATATTACAGTAATAATAATAATAATAACAAAAATAATAGTTTAGAACAAAAAACATTTTAATCTATTTTTGAGATAATAATAATAAATTTATAATATAAAAGAAAAATAAATATATAAATGAAACAAAACAAAAACAACAACTTTAATATCAAAATAAAAATCAATTTTTATTTTCTAAAAATAATAGTAATTTATATTTTGCTTATTTTTTGTTGTTTTTTTCTATCTCAAATTATTATTATTATTATTTATATTATTATTATTATTATTGACTAACATTGAAAAATTTGTACACATTTTTTAAAGATAAAATATTAAATCTATAAAAATAAGTATTAATATACATAGTATTAAATAATCTCCTGTGATTAATTATTTTAGTAAAAATTGATATATTGATAATAATAATAAATAATAATAATATTAAATTRAGATTTTCATTTTTCGAAACATTTAAAGAAACAAAATATAAAACTAATTAAAATATTTAAATTAAAAAATCAAAAAATAATGYACACAAACCTAAATTATTTATCTAATCAAATTGAAACTTGTTTTATAATATAAATCAATAAATGTATTTTAGTAATGTAATTATTTATTTATCGTTAATATGTGTAGTATTGTGTACATTGATATACAAATTTCAAGTGTTAATCTTAATTAATCCTAATAAATTAAATGTCAAAAACAAAAATATCTTAACTTGTTTATTAAAAAAATATTATATTTATAAAAATAATGCAAATCATTTATATTGATTAATGGAGACTAAAAATAATATAATTGTTTTTTAGTTTAAAATATAAGTCAAATACATAAAACACGAGTGATTTGCTGATCAACAATACAACAATCATTACAAATGTCTTAATGTTTGATTACAATTGCGTTAATCTCTTCTTAACTATTTATTTATTGTTAGAGTTTTGAAATCAAATTATAATTTAAGACAATTTTTATTGAAAAAATTCAATAAAAGGATATCACTATTTGAAAATATGGGTCAAAATCGTAAAAATATTAACTTAGTCTATATCGTTAAAGATAAATAAAATACTTAGTATTAAATCCGTTAGTTTTAATGGAGAGAAAGAGAGAGAGAGAGAGAGAGAGAGAGAGATGWACTGTATTTAATAATAGGTTGCCTCATATATTTAGATATGCGATAACATACAGTATAAAATTTATACTGAATATTTTAGTATATTTATAGTATATGTTAAAATAAAATCAACTATTAGGCCAGTCCTCACTCATCCCTACCATTAACGACAGAGCTCTTTATCCGTACTAAATATATACAAACTAAATAAAAATATATATTTTGTTTTGAAGCTAAGAATTTTAAAAATAATTTTAATTTTTCCTA